GGTGTCGAGTATTTTACACGCTGGCCTATGGCCTGGCCCCTTGCCAACCAGTCGGCAGCAGCCATCGTGGAGGCCTTTGTTCAGGGATACGTCCTGGACAAAGGTGCTCCGGAGCGGCTGCTGACCGACCAGGGCAGAAATTTTTCCGGTAAATTACTCAAACAAGTCTGTGACCTCCTAGGCACGAAGAAAATTCGTACCTCCCCCGTATCACCCGCAAACTGACGGGATGGTCGAGCGCCTGCATCGCACCATTACGTCAATGATGTCACAGCAGGTCTCGGACTCACAGACTGACTGGGACCTGCATATTCAAGGGGTCTTGGCGGCATACCGGATGGCACCCCATGCAGCTACGGGATTTTCCCCCTTTTACCTCATGTACGGTCGCGAACCCGACCCGCCTGTTCGCGCCCAGCTGCAGATCCCCGAGCCGCAAGGGAAAACTAAATTGGCTGACCACGTCAAATTTAATCTGGCCAAATTAACAGAGGCGCGGGATGCTGCAATGCTAAACTCGGACCTCCGTCAAAAGGCGAATGAGCGCCTCAGGCTGGGTCGGGCGCACATGATACAGTGGAAGCCGGGGGACAAGGCATGGCTGCACTGTCCCCAAGTGCCACTGGCTACCTCCTCTAAGCTCGTGCGGCCGTGGCGGGGCCCTGTGGAGGTGGTCGAAGTTTTGCGACCGCAGTGCGTGCGCATTAAATGGGGGAAGCGGCGATGGTTCGTGCACCCCTCTAGGTTAAAACCCTTCGTTGCGGTACACAAACCCACTTCACACATGCGTGGCCAAACGTGTGGGGGGTCGACCGACTCATTGGGTCCGTCTCCGTCGTTCTCACCTAATGCCTTGCCGGCCGTGCCACCTCCAGGTGCATCAGGACTGACGGGCTCACGCCCGACCACCCCTCCTGGGGATACCGACGGTCGCGCGGCATCGGATGAGGACTCACTCCGGGACGGACAATTGCCACCTGACGGTCCGCCACCCGGGGTTACCCCGTGTGAGGGGCCCGCTGCAAGGACGCGCGCAAAAATGCGCAGACTGTTATGAGGCCGGAAGATGTGTACATAGGTTGTGTTCATCGTGTGTTGTGTGGGTGGTGTGTTCCCTGCCCATTGAAATGTACATACGTTGGGTTCACCTGGTGTTGTGTGTATGGTGGGTTCCCTGCAAATTGTATATAGGTTGTTTTTTTTACGGAATTCGTATTTATTCAAGGGGGGGTGCGTCGGGTTGTTTTCTCTTCTTGCTGTTGCATTTTGTTGTGTTCTTGTTGCTGTTCTTGTTATTGTTGAAAAATAGTGAGGCACACGCGCGGTCAAGGTGTAAATGCACTTTTATTGTCATTTTTGTATGTTGGCAGCCGGGACGGCTGCAAGCTATGCGGGGGGGGGGGTGATGTAGGGGTGTTAAAGAGAGGGCCCGTTATGCATGGCAGCCTATGGAAAACAAACACAGTGGGCGGGGCTACGTAAGTGCACGAGGAGGTGCCCTCTACGACGTCCGAGCCAGACACCCTGGGGGGGGCTGGTTCGAACGTTATGATCCCCCGGGGCCCCACCCCTCAGGGAGGGGTTGGGTATAAAAGGGGATGTTCAAAGGGCTCGAGTCAGTTATGTTTAAGCTAAGGGAAGAAGACTGAAGACGTCTTAGATAGAGCCCTGGACTCCCCTAGTTCGATGTCCTTTTCAGGGCCGGACAGGACTGAGCCAGCGGCGTGGTCCCGAAAGCCAGAGCCGGTGCTCTTGTAAGAGCTGGTCTGGAACTCCGGGTACCGGGCCCGACTTACCAGTGTCGGGCCAGTTAGCCTCCCCTAGCCCATTAGTGGAGGATTCGGGGCTAGGACAGAGTTAGCTAGGGGTGTATCCCGAGTTATACGGGTGAGGGGGCCGATACCCCCTCGAGTGTGTATATGCCCACTGTCGTATTGTGAATTAAATATACGTGTGCCTCAACCTCGGCGTCAAGCGTCTTCACCGGTACTTCAAAGGTATGGAAGAGCTTTAAACCGAGTGCAGTTTTAGTCATTGGCAATGAGACTACCACAACCATTATAACATCAGTGTCAATACAGCCATTGTGTTTGTAATCTTTTGGGCAATAAATAATCACCGTCATGATCACAACAACCATTATACCATTATACAATAATCCAGGTCTCCCTTGACATAGATACGTATGGGTCCACGTGCTGACTTGATATTTGTGATAATGATGATCTAGCTTTCTAGCAAAGTGATACAATCACTTAGTGACATTATTACCTTCAATCCTTATTAATCACCAATTTATTTTCTAATTCGAAATCTTCAACAAAACTCCATGGGCAAAAAGCCCGTGGGTGTCCAATGCAATGTTTCTGGCTTGTTTCCACTTTCCTCTATCCTGTGCCACAACATGTTGAGTTTATGACAAGCTCAGTTTCCTTCACATTACCACCTGCATCAAGTCTTCTGTTTATGTTCAGCCTTATCCTTCTACGATTGTCACTCTAATTCTACCTGCAGTATTATGAAAGTGTATACAGTATTATATCATGTCGTGACAAATTATGGCAGTTGGCACTGTGAAAGCACGCCCATTATAACGTTTTTTCACACGCTCGTGCTTTCACAATGAGAACATTTATTTTCGTGGTATTCACAGGATTGCCTTTCATCAGAGCTCACAAGGAAGGGCTGGGGTTTTTTTTTTCAATGGAAAAGTGAAACGTGGCCAAAAGTCGACCCACGTCTCCCCGTTGGTCGCACGCCTCGAGTCTTTGTGTTTATTGTTTGGGCACGTGCAAAAATAACAATAAGTTACTTCAGAGTTTCACTTCTCACGGAAAACATCGTAGGTGCTTTTTCCACTACGTTAAAAAACTGTTTCCACGCTGTCGAAAGCGCTTTTGTCGCGATGGATCATGTCTAATTTCACAGGAAAGTCTTTCAAAACTATGGACCGGTTTTTATACATTAAGCCTTGCACCGTTCGTGGCGAACTTCCAGATATTAATAGACAACAAGGGCCCTCTTCTTTTAGACGAGGACCCTATATGGATCCGATAAACATCTGACAATTGACAGCACAATTTGAATCATCACCGTTACTAATCACTGCCACGACCGCTGTTGATATCATGTGATCGCACCTGTGATGTCCATTGGTCATTTTATCAGAATTTGCATCGACTATCATCGCTAATCATCTTATTTGTGGGCACCTTAAACGTATCGAAGAGATTTAAACCGAGTGCAGTTTTAGTCATAGGCAATGAGACTACCACCACCATTATATCAGTTTCAATACAGCCACTGTGTTTGTAATCTTTTGGGAAATAAATAATCACTGTCATGATCACAACAATCATTACAACGTTTTTTTCACAATAAACAATAACAAAATTCTCACTTATAGTGAAAATTTTTTATTGTTTTATATTGTTTCATATTTTTATTTTTTAATTATTTCCCTTCTACGTGACTTTACCGAAAGAACCAAGAATAGCAATCAAGTTGTAAATAGACAGCTATTAGCCATTGAATCCAAGCTTTGTGAAATGTTTTTTAACATTTTTATGACTACAATATTTTGTTGTTTTGTTCTTAACTTATTTAATTTTGAGTAACTGACAAGACGTTTCGTAACATAGATTGTAATGAGTAGAAATACTTGTGGCATGCTTAAGTCGAGTGCATTGCAGTTGAATAACTTTGAAGTTTTCTTTTAATATCATATTTGAAGTCCATCATAGCGCGAAAACAATATTATACAAATGAAAACTGTTCTTACAGCGTCATGGGAAACTGACATCGCGATGATCGCCTTATCGTGAAATTTGTTTTCCTGTCGTTTTGTGAAAAATAATATCACGTCGACCCCGGTGTGCAGGCAGTCTTTCCCCCAGCTCCTCCGATTAGCACAGTTGGCTACGTATGGTGCGAAAGAAGTTCAACATGCATACATACATACAGCCGACACAGCACTTGAACCCTCGGCGTGTGTGGGTGTGCGTGCCTTGCCATATACTGGGGTGTGAATAATTTTAGAATGGCCATGGCTCAGGTTCCACATGATCTGAACGTTAGAACAGGCCGCTGTGCGTGCCCACATCGTCATCATCCGGTGGCTCCGGTGGGCTGGGAGCGTTGAACGGTACCACACCCAACTTTTGTGGAGCTTCTCATATGTTGAATGGCTGGGGTGGAGTGGTGGAGCATTAATTAGAACTCTCCGCTACGAAACCGGCGACGCTTGAGTACGGTTCACAAACCGCGGTTAACGCTGGTTGGCGAGTGCTAACTGAGCTGGTCCAGCGCGGTGAAGTATGATCAAGCGACCCTCATAACCGACGTGGCATTGGCAGGCCCTTATCTAGCAGTGGATTGACAATGCGCCGCAAGTCGGGGAGACCCGGACCCCTTGGCTCAACCCCTCTCACGTGGATGCCAAGCCCAGGGAGCCTGGCATGGGAGCCAGGCAAGGAAAATATGTCCTACTAGACATCTGTGAGCTACAGGACATCTGTGAAAAAGAGCTTAATAGGTCATCGGATTCCTCCAGGCTAAATACAGATTCTGATTTTGAAAGGTGTCTGCTCTGCCGATGAAACTAAGTGAGTAATTTTAGAGATGTAAGTCAGGTGAAAATAATAAAGAGGTAAAAGCGCAGCCCTGTAATTTCTTGGCTCGCGTCACTGCTGGCCGAAGGATCTCCAGGAGGGGGAAGTCTTTAGCTAGAGGTCGTTGACCTACTCCTCCACGCTGGATTGATGTCTTGGAAGACTTGAGATTACCCAAACTTCCCCCGCACCTCCGATTAGCACAGTTGGCTACGTACGGTGCGAAAGAAATTCGACACACACCTCAATGTCCTGATCAACAAACTGTGGGTGTACCCATTTATAATGCTGAAGCTTATGGTATATGCAGTAATAACGGTGATAACAGTAATATGTAGCACGGTGTTGACTTTGTAAAAAGAGTCACCCGATTGTGTTTTGTTGCTTAAGGCTCAGCAGTTCGCATCACCTATCAGGAACACAGCCGCCGGCATGGGGAGGGCTTGCCACTACTGCCTCAAGTACCTGCTGTTCGTCTTCAACCTGGTCTTCTGGGTGAGTACCCTCCTCACTCAGCAGCTCGCTCATTTACCAGCCCATCGATTGGATTACCCACTCACAAACACACTCATTTACTCACTGACTCGCCGATTCAACTACTCAGTCAAGTATTCGGCAACTAGCTCATTACTGACCTACTTACCAACTCATCCACTCACTGAGCAATCTCACGAGCTCACTTATTTACTAACTTACTAAACCACCCACTTGTTTACTCACTTCCTAACTCACCATCTGAACTACTCACTGACTCACTTATATTACTAACACAAAGTCTCCAACTCACCCACTCGCTTAACTACTAACCAGCTCACTCACTAATTGACCCACTCAACTACTCACAACCTCACTGCCTCACTTGCAACATGCTAACTCGTTAATTTACCCACCACGAACTCGCCCACCTACACCCAACTGCTCACCCACTGACCTATTCACGGTGACTCCGTGGCCGGGCGCCGGTGCGGTTCGCCGTTTAGTCCAGGGGCTCACGGTTAGAATCCAGCGGCCGCCTCGGTTATCACTGCCGGTAGCGTAACAACCACATCGGCGCGACTCGCCGTCTTGCTTCACTCGCAGCGGACGACAAAGATCCCCTGACGTCACTCCGCGAGACTAGGCCATCGTGCGCTGGAGTCGGCGTCCGACTTGGAAAATTACCCGCAAACTACTCGGTTGGGATAATAAACAGCAATCAATCGCCCTCTACTGGCAGACGAATGCCCCAGGTCACTCTGGAGACTATCCAAACGAAACTCATCCTGGCCTCTTTGAGTTATCACCTGGCAACACTAAACACACTTGAACCCACCCGCCCACTCTCTCACCCGCCCACCCTCTCATCCGCACAACCTCTCACCCGCCTAACCTCTCACCCGCCCACCCTCTCACCCGCACAACCTCTCACCCGCCCAACCTCTCACCCGCACAACCTCTCACCCGCCCACTCTCTCACCTGCACAACCTCTCACCCGCCCAACCTCTCACCCGCCCACTCTCTCACCCGCACAACCTCTCACCCGCCCAACCTCTCACCCGCACAACCTCTCACCCGCACAACCTCTCACCCGCCCAACCTCTCACCCGCACAACCTCTCACCCGCCCACCCTCTCACCCGCACAACCTCTCACCCGCCCAACCTCTCACCCGCACAACCTCTCACCCGCCCACTCTCTCACCCGCACAACCTCTCACCCGCACAACCTCTCACCCGCCCACCCTCTCACCCGCCCACCCTCTCTCCCACCTCCCTGCCTTCCCCCCGTTGCAGCTTGGTGGCTGCGGCGTGCTGGGAGTCGGCATCTGGCTGTCCATCACGCAGGGCGGCGTGGCTGCCGTGTCTCCCAACCTTCCGCTGCTGTCGGCCGCCAACCTGCTGATTGCGCTGGGTGCCGCCGCCATGCTGCTGGGCTTCCTGGGCTGCCTGGGTGCCATCAAGGAGAATCCGTGCCTCCTGCTCACCGTACGGCTCGCTTACCCGGCGGCAACTTCGCGCTCGAGAATAATCAATGGGAGCAGATGCCACAGAGCTACTTACCTCTGAGGTCCCTTCTAGGCGGGGGTGCCGCGGGGGCGAGATGTTGACTCGCTCGCCTGGTATGCAGGAGGTTATGGGTTTGATTCCGACTGACTCCTGCTGTATATTTGGAATTTGCGTGTTCTCTCTCCCTGTGGTCAGTGTGGATTTTTCTCGGGTTTTTCCCTCCACATTTAGAAACATGCGTTTAGAGTATTTGGCTGCTTTACATTTCCACGTGATAAGCCACTTCGTTAAGCTATGATTTGTGGCGCTTCTGAAACAGAGCTAATAGCTCAGTGGGCTTTGTATGTATGTTGGACTTCTTTCACACCGTACGTAGCTAACTGTGCTGATTGGAGGTGCGGGGGAAGGACAACAAACTAAACACGCCGCGTCCTCACAGTGCACTGACTAACGTCGCTCGCAACATAATGCATCATTAGCATTTCACCTGGCCAAGGTGCGGCTTTACCTGGTAATTTAAAATCTTTTCAGTTTCAATAAATCACCACTGTACACTTAAAATCCCGGTTCACTAACAGGCGGTGGAAAATGGGATTGGATCCCCTTGCATCTCAGCGTTGGGGAGCCAGCAAGCGCCCGGCACGTACGATTATGATTTGCCCTCTGGGTGACGTACGATTATGACCTGCCCTCTGGATGACGTACTAGTATGACTTGCCCTCTGGGTAGGTGGGGAGAGAAAATCGCCCTCTCGTCTTCTCTTCCCTCCCCCCCTCTAGTTTTTCGTGCTCCTGCTCGTCGTGTTCCTGGCCGAGTTTGTGGGAGGAGTTCTGTTCTTCGTGTACCAGGGACAGGTGAGCGTCGGGTGCTGAACGGAAGGGAAGATTCTGACTAATACATTTTAATTTATAAACCGCCCCCTTAAACAATTGTGACTCGGGGCGCTATGCACGAAAAGGCGGTAACAATTAACATCAACTCAAGGAAGTAAGAAGTGAGAAAGACGTTTGAAAACAACTAGAGAGACAAAGCCATTTTAATATTTGTGGCCAGGGCGTTTCTGAGGTGTGGTTAGGAGTCACGCTGAAAGGTTGGCTGATCAAGGACAAACGTTTTGATTTGCCATTTTAAGTGTCGTATTATTGAAGAGTAAATCATAAGAGAATTGTTTTTTTACCCTTTTATCTGGCAACAAAACTGACACCTTTTTTTAAAAAGGAGTCATGTTTGCATTGACCACAATACCTGCGGTCGGAATGCAAACAAAAATCACAACTCTGATAATGTATGCACTGTTCTTCAAATTGATTGGTCCACACCAGAGACAACAGCTTTTCTTAGAACCCAGTCTCACATGGTGTTGGACCAGATGACACCAAAAAAAGCATACATTATCAGTCGACCTATAGAGGAGGCCCAGGAATGGTTCAGATAATCTTCACTGGTGTTGGCCGTGAGCAGGAATCGAACCCGAGTCACCGGGTTCGGAGTGTGGCGCACTAACCGCTACACCACCGCTCCCGCCGCCCCTGCTACACACAGGTAGAGGACTGGGCCCAGGACGACCTGAGGCAGGGCCTTCACCTGTACGGCACCGAAGGCAACGTGGGTCTCACCAACGCGTGGAACACCCTGCACTCCGAGGTCAGCTCCCATCACGCTATGCTCATTTTACAAGCGCGCAGCCGTTCCCGCGGGCAGAGCGGTGACGCCCGGCAGACGCCGTTCGCAACAGCCGCCTTGACTCGAACGAGCTAAAGAACTCGCGTTTTCCATATTTTCGTATTGTTTGTTGAATCCAAATTGTCCGGGTCGGGCTCTCGCTTTGCACCGGGTGGGCCCTACTTTCCTTCCGTCAAAATTGTGGGGGGGTGTGGGGGGCTGATCGGAAATACACCACCAAGCGTGCTGCGATCGTAAATGTCATAGGTGGGAACAGATTCATTTGTAATTTTACATTTCATTTTGTCGGCGCAACGTGGTCTTGCAAGTGTTTCTGCGAGGGAGCTGCCCGACTCGCGTGACTCTGCAGTGCATGGAAACGCCACCTCGGTTTATTTTATTTAGCCCTCCTATAGATGCCGTCCGTGCTTTTCCCCCTCCGTCCCACCACATTGGATGCGACGGTTAAATCGCGTGCGTGCCGTCCCACCCATCCCTCTGCCTGCCCGCCCGCAGGTTGGCTGCTGCGGTGTGCACAACCACACCGACTGGTTCACTGTGTTCGGTGAGCGTCGCGTGCCAGACTCGTGCTGCCGGGACTTTGCCAGTGGCTGTGGCTCCGTGCCAAGCTCTGCCTACGCCAGACCGGTGAGCCAGTCGCCGCGTGTCTCTCAGTTTTATACAAGAGCCTTGACGCACGGTGCAATTGTACCAGAGACAGGCCAGGCCAGGGGAGGCTGGAGCTCTTGGTAATACGTGGAATTCCACTGGCAAAACCGAGCCAGCCTGGCACAGCTTAGGTGGCCAGCAGAAGCCAAGTCGTGCCATCGACGCTGCCGCCGGTACACCGTGTTGGAACGAGTCGAGGCACGCGTAGGTGACGCGTGCGTAGGTGACGCATACGTTGGTGCGCGTTAGTTTAACAACAAAAGCACGCAGCTGTTGTGCGCATGCAAAACAATCCATCGGCATTTCCTGAAGACTGCCAATTTGACTGCAACCGCGGTGCGGTGACACCCGGAATGTTGACCGGTTTCGTCACATTTTGATGGTGACCTAAGCCAAGAGGATCACAATGCAGATCTTCAGGAAATGCTGATTTTCTTGTTGTTGTTGTTGCAAACTGCACGACTGCATTGTACATGTTTCTGTCTTGTTTGAAACATGGCTTTTCCAGTCTATGCTCGTATTCTGTTGCGTTGGAATTTTCCTGTCACCAATTCGATCTTTGTACGGATGGTAGAGTGTTACGATTAAAAAGGCTAATGGCAGGCTTAAGTTGAAGCCAACTGGCAGTTGAATAACGTTGAAGTAAAATGTATTTGAACCTGGAGTACTGCAAAGTACAAAAAGAAGACTAAAAATATGGAAAATTTACCAAATTACGAAAAACTGGAATCGTGATAATCGTCGTGTGTTTACATTTCTATATTGTGAAATATGATATCGCAGAGAGCATTTGAGAGATTTGGCGGAAGCAAGCAAAGGCTTGGTGTGGTGGCATCGGCCACGGTGACCTTTTGACCTTGACCTTTCAAATATATATTTTTTTCCAGGGCTGTTATGAAAAGTTGAAGTCGTGGATCAAAGACAATCTCATCTACGTTGGAATCTTTTGCCTCGGAATCGCGACCATTCAGGTAAATCCACAGCTGTGCATTAAACAAGTTTTTTTTTATTATGGGTTTCTTATACACAATTGTATTGGTCGCATGCAGGCAAACGTCATAATTTCAAACGTGAACTCTTCGCAAAATCCTCTTTCGGGAGGGGTGGGGGGGGAATGCTTGCTGGTGAGCTGAAACGGTAGTTCAAACTTCATGTTTGTTGAGCCAGTTGAGAACTCAAGAGACCAGGATAGGAGTCTCATTTGCAAGGGTGACCCAAGTAACCGAAATTACAAATGACAAGTATACAAAGTAAGGTGCAGCAACGAAGTGAATCGATCGGGAACAAACAAATAAAAAATAAAACACCGTCACACGAGGGATAGAAAATAATACAAAAGAATGTAAAATCGAGGCTAAATATTTAGCGATCGTTTTGTAATCGGTGGGAGAAGTGAATCTGGATGGATTGACTTTGGTCGGTTGTGGTTCGAGGTCGCCATTCTGTGGTAGAGTGAGAGGAGAGGATGGAAATCTTATCAGGCAGGAGTCGGGATGGGGGTCATGGAACTCATCGTTGGCACGGTCGGTGCGAACAGCATGAGGTTTTCCCTGTGCAGACATTGCTGTGCTAACAACAGTGGTTGCACTCTCTCGTCTCTTGCACACAGATCCTGGGCATGGTGTTTTCCATGACAATGTTCTGTCACCTTCGAGCCGAGGAGAAAGACTACGAGTGACGGAGTCCAGCTGGTGTGCGCGCGTGTGTGCGCACGTGTGTGTGCGCGCGTGTGTGCGTTGTATGTTTACGTGTCTGAGTACGTGTGTGAGCATGTGTGTGAGTATGTGTGTGTGTGGCGAGCCGGTAGTGCAACGGTTAGCGCGCTGCGCTACGAACCCGGCGACCCGAGTTCGATTACCGCTCAAGGCCAATACCAGTGACGATTATCTGAACTGGTCCTGGGCCTCCTCCCCTATGTCGACTCAGCCTAAATAAGTACCTGGTGCGGTGTGTAAACATCACCACTAGGGAGACAAAGGCGGCCGGGCGTGGTGCTGGCTACCCACCCCCTTGTTTGCCATGTTGGCCTTCATAGGTGCTCGCTAACAGCACTTGCACCAACAGTCTGTTAACGCTATACGGGGGATGTTTGTTTTTTGAGTGCGTGTGTGTTACGTGTGTTGACCGACGCGCATCCACCGCCGTTCACCGCCTCCTGACAGCGTTACGAGATGCCTTCCCTCGACTGCAGAATTTTTCTTCCCATGGCATTCAAATGAGGCCCTTAGTTGTGCCCGTTAGGTAATCAGCTGTTGAAGCTGCTTATTTTCAAGCGTAAAGGAAGGCCTCTGTTTATGTTGGAGATGTGTTCCTGGCAGAAGCGGCGTTCGACGAAACGACGTGAATTGGAACCTACGTTAACGTTGACTGAATGATAGAAATTTAGGATACGTTCCTGGGGGAAGATTTTCAGTCAAAGTTTGCAGGGAAAAAAATATTAATTCGGCACCAAAAAAGATACCCCCCGAAAAATATAACAAGTTTAAATGAATAATGTAAGTTAACACAGAGTACTCACCAGAGATAGCGATGGGGATCTCAGGTGTGTACTACACCGCACCTCCGATTAGCATGGTTGGCTACGTACGGTGCGAAGGAAGTTCAACATAGGCAGCATTTAAAGCAGTGTTCATAAATTTTCAGAGGGGGTGGCCACTTTCGCCAATAAGACGTCGTCAACGTAAGGGCGGCCACACATTTGAAACCATTGGGGGTTTGACAGCAGCACGATGATGATGATGATGTTGGAGGGGTGTTTTTACCATTTGTGTATTGTCAGGAGGGCCACACGTCAGGTGGTGCACTAAAGGGCCCCACCATTGGCCCTCGTGGGTCTGGCAGTGAAGAACTCCGATGGAGGGTATTTGGCTGATATTCTTAGGTTTTTTCCGGTAAAGTCACGTAGGTAAAAAATTAAAATTAATAAAAGTAAAATTTTTATTGTATTTTTATTTTACTTTTATTAATTACATTTTTTTACCTACGTGACTTTACCGAAAAAACCTAAGAATTTGAATCCTTGCAGTCACGAAAGCTTCAAATCTGGTATTTGGCTGCTCTACATTTCAACGTGATAAGCCACTTCGCTGAGCTATCATTTGTGATGGCCAGGTCGCTTCTGAACAACGAGACATAGTGGAGCTCAGTACGGCCTTGCCTGGTAAGCTAAGTAGGTTAGTTTGGCGACGCTGTAAGCACAGAGGCTTTGAGTGCCTGCCAGAGTGGGCGCCGTGGCAGATTGCGTCGACGCGCATACCGCTCAAACCGCCGCGTTCTTTGAACTTTTTCAACAGAACGTTGCGAGCGGATCGATGCATTTTAAATCGAATCGTGTTCCCTAATCCGTTGGCGACGTTATAGTGAAACGACGCATATACCCAGCAACGTAAATGGAGGAGTTCCTGTATTACATTTCTGTTTTTTTTATGTATACCTATTATAGTTAGCTCAATAGGTTATTTGTTCAAATATTTGCCAAATATCTAACTTTTTTATATTGCAGTCGTAGCATAATTAGATAACATAACAAGCATCCATCTATGAGTCCAGATCATTGCTTTACACAAGCATTGGTCTCAATAGGGAAACTCTGGACTGGTTTGAACCTTCTGGGTCTCATCAGCAGTCCCACCTCTGTTAAAAAGATATATTGCTGCTGGTTTGCCAGATATTAGTTTCAAGTTCACTTTTATTTTGCTTACAATTATCGTCAAATTGTAACTTAACAGCTGTGCAACCCAGCCAGATGTTAGTTACATTACTATGGGAGGTGCAAGTTAAGTATGTTATGAACGCCAAAACGCCACTGAATCAAGTTAAAATAGTTTTTTTTACGTCATTTTATTTTAAAACATGTCGCACTGAGTTTGCCGTGCCAAGTTAGTCTGCCTTAAGGTCCAGAATCCTAGTGCTTTTATTGATTTTTTTTTCTAACGAGAGGTAGGCAAATGTCCCCTGATCTGCGGTACCTGCTGAATCTGGGATAGCAGATATTTTTACTTTGGCCACTGTTCCAGCGGAATGTGCGTACTTTACATTTTAATTATTTATTCACGTATTTAAAAATAGACCGGTGTGTTTAGATAGCTCTGCTGGAAGGCACTCACGGCGCTGAAGCAATTTAACAGCCGCTCTGGCAGAAGGAAGCGATGGAGGTGCAAGGATACATCGGTGCCAAGGCCTGCGACGACCTCTTGTCCTTGACTTTGTAAAACATTTTCGGCGTTTTTATTTAGGAATTGATTTGAACGCAGGCAAGTGTGTGGTAGGCGAGTCACCGATTCACCAATTACAATCCATTCTCGAGCCCGTGGTTTGTCATGTAGCACGAACTGGCATCATTCTTGAGGATATTTGCTAATTGTATTGGGAAATTTTGCATCTGCCTACAGTCAAATCACCCAGAATGCACCCCATCTCTCGTCAGATATCAGAAGCCAAGCAGATTGTGAGCCTGGATAATTCTTGGATGGGCCACCACCATGCAAATCAGGTTGTTAGAGGCTGCTGCATGGCTATATTGCGGTCAGTGCATACAATCCATTTCACTTTACTTTAAACCCTCCCCGCCTTCGCCAATTCTCACTGACCAGTGTGCGTGAAGTACGGTGAACTCTCCCCCATATCCCACACGGCATGTGGAGGCCCTTATCCAGCAGTGGATGGACGAATGTGAGTGCACGATGCAAACGCTACGTCTTGGCGAACGGAGGGAACGAGGACCGTGGATGGCGTGGGTCAAACCACAAAGGGATACAAAGTGGATGGTTGCGTGCCTGCTGTTTGTGAGCTCTGTTGGACGAGTTTTTTTTTATCCATCTCCATCATCAATCCCTGCAGCCTCTCGCCCACGCGACTGCCCGCCCGCCGCCTTTCCCGTCCTTCAAATGCAGGTCCGACACGGCGCTATGAATCTGCCGATGCATAGATGCGAAAGCGTTGACCACGTGCGGAAGGCAGGGGCAGGGTGTTTGGGACTCAGCGTTGAGGTACAGGGTTAGTGGAGAGAGGAAAAAAAGCACGTGAATCCGCTCGTGTGACTTATTTTAAGTTCTTAAATTTGTGGGTTTTTGTTTGTTTTGGGAGGGGTGTTTCAAACCATCCGCTTAAAAGTACTTAATGTCGCCACATTTCAATCGAAGCATCAAAGCCGTTTACACGTAAAGCCGTCAAAGCGGGTCTTACCTGGGCAGGACGGACTCAAATGAGAGACGTCGGAGTCCAAAACCTTGTTTACAAAACCGTGAAATAATATTTGTGTTAAACCCGGTATATGAAGGATTTTTTTCAGCGGCAGACCTGGATTTTCAGGGCCACCCACGGCTGTTTAAAAAAAAAAAATCCGAGTCGCGTTCACGGCAGTTCTTGCGAGCAGCGCCTGAATATACAGGCGCGACACGTCTCCAATGCAGTGTTTGTTCTTGGTATTTGCTATTTAATCTCTTCTCCCGAGTCGGAACGCCCGTCACCATCGCCACCTCCACCGCGCACCTGCTCTGAAAAAGGGTCACGCACCTGGAGGGGGCAGGGGGGGCATGTGGGCGCTCGTTTCTGGAGCTTCTTGTTTTGGCACAAGTTCGTGGTCGTTGCCCGACAGGGCCGAACATGTTTACTTGGTAATCAACGTTTTTGGGTTTAGATCTACAACTCGCATCGTAACAACTGCATGATTACTAATCTAGTATATCATTACAATAACCCCCCCCCCCCTCAAATCGTTGCACCTGATGAGTTGATGATGACGTCACCCTGCTGCTGCTCTATATAAGAACGGGAGACAGAGCAGAGCCTCACCATTCTGGCGAATGGCCCGACGATGCTGGATGCAATTACCAGCGAAACGTCGTACTACTCAAATTGTAATGTTGTGGTTTCACGCTTCAACACACCGGTGGGCTAAAGCAGTGAACTATTTGTCTTTTGTCAACGTGACACTTTTTTACTGATTGGCCGTGTCGGGTGGTGGAGGGTTATGACACATTTATAAATAAAGCGATCTAAACCCAAAAACGTTGATTATGAATAATATTGGTCGCCAAAGCCTCACACGTGTTAAACTGATGTTTACTTGGGTCCAGGCACAAACGTCGTTCCCTCGGTAACTCCTGCGGTGAAGTGTTTAGCAAGCTGTAAACTGAGCACGTTCATTAATAAGGATTTAAAGAGAAGATTTAATGGGACGTTTTGCGCATGTTTTTTTAAGTTTTCACCTGAGTAAAAAAAAACTGCCAATGTAGCAATTATATTTTGACATAGGCTTCGGGTATTAGCTATGTCAGCACATTAACAACGCTAAGACTGCTGTATGTGTTTGTTATTTGAAAAATGGTAGTTCCGGTTTCTCTGCTTTAATCAAAAGGGGTATTGTATACTATATTTAAACTGGATTATTCGTTGCAGTGTACGCGTTTGTGTTGCTAGTGATGAACAAGCACAAAGCCAAAATATCGCTCCCCTGTGGTCATTAACATTTCATTAAAGAATAGTCATCGTCCTTTAAATAGACTGACTCTGCCATAAGCATGTGGAATTTTCACCGCACCTCCGATTAGCGCTGTTGGCTGCGTATGGTGCAAAATAAATTTGACAAAGACAATGGAGGCGAATGCCCGTGTGGAGAGACGACAGGGAAATTATGTGGCTCAGAAGGTGCAAGTGATGCAAGTGGAAGGAAAGAGATCGAGAGGAAGGCGGAGGAAGAGGTGGGACGATGTGGTGCGATCGGAGAGTGGTGGGCCGAGGAGCGGAAAGAGAGATGGCGCAGGACAGGGCGGTGTGGAGAACGTTGGCAAAGACCCCGCATGAGTGGGACATGCGTGGAAGAAGATGAATGTCGTGTCGCGCTTATTTCATCAGGGAGACGCTTAAAAAAGACTTTGATGTTAAGTTCAAGTCGCTCAGTGCTTATAAGGGACAATGTAAAAAACATTCAAATTCTGTTCCAGAGCTGCTGTATTCAGTAGTGGGTTTACGGGGGGCTGTTAAAGAACTGAATTTCATAGTCTCAAGTGCACTGTTAATGACCAGTAGCGGGGATGTCTCGTTGTCCGACTCGGTAAAAGGGGGGTTTTGAGAAAGTCACGACCCCCATAACAACAATACGTATACTCAGGCTGCGTCGTGCGCTTCAAGTTGTGTTCACAAAGAAAAGTGACTATGTGGTTCTTTCGGTAAAGTCTCGTAGAAATTAAAATCCAATATTCTTGGTTCGTTCGGTAATGTCACGTAAAAGGGAAATAATAAAATAATAAAAATAAAACAAAAAATTTATTTATAAAAATTAAAAACAATTTCATAAAAGAATAAAAATAAAAAATACAATTGTTTTTATAAAAAAAATTATATAAAAATAAAAACAATTTTATTGTTTTATTTTATTCAAAAAAACTTAATTTTTTATAATTGTATTTTTATTATTTTATTATTTCCCTTCTACGTGACTTTACCGAAAGAACCAAAGAGTAATTCCTGCAGTCACGAAAGCTTCGAATCCAGAAAGGAAAGTGACTTTAAATTAACGCTTCAAGTTCATCGTTAGGACACTAATGTAAATTCGACCGCACTCCTATTCACATGAATACACCAATGCACTGATCCATTTAAAGTAATTTCTTTTTCACGTAACTTAACCTTTGAAACTTGTGTTTAGACCGGCACCGAGCCACGTAGCCTAGGTGCGTATCTCCAAGAGACATTTCCCGGCAGGTTTATGTCGTCATCTTCACCGAGACGTGTCAAGAGACGTGCATGTTGTGTGGCGTTGACGCTTGGCATCGAGTCGCGACCGTGCGTGCGATGGGATTACAGTATTTATGCTCCCTGAGGCCAGAGTGTGGCGTGAGTTGGAGTCTGCATGTTTGTTGAAGTAAAATGTTGAACAAAGCACGCGTTGAACATGGTGATACGTTCTTGACTTAACGCTTTCGTGACTGCAGCAGTTCATATTCTTGGGTCTTTCGGTAAAGTCACCTAGTAGATCGGTCTTTCCTGAAGACGACCCCTTGCGTTGCGATCGAAACGTCGTAGTTTTCTGTTATTTTTTTCTTATTTTCTTTGAACCTATCTCCGTGACTTTACCGAAAGACCCAAGAATATGGTGACGTTCATTCGAGCCGAGCCGGAATCCTCTGTAAACACAACATTGCACAATCAGGAGGCATGTACTGTAATGATTTGTTGGTCACGATGCATTCATTGGATTGTACATGTGATGGATTTCCTTAACAGCCACATCATTCAACAACCACGCTGAAGTTCACAACACTTCTCTTTCTATGACATGCACTCGCACTGCTCCACTTGGGAATTCCATCCTGCCATCATCATCATCAGTCTCTTTTTTTCCCCACGCTCGTTTACAGAGTTCGTTTGCCCTTGGTCATGTCAAGAAACGCGTGAGCTCATTTATGATAATCATTATCGTGCAGTTTGTTGCTGGCTGCTTGGCACTATTGGCCTTTGCTCCGCGGGCGTGATTGATTTTTTTTTACACGGCATATAAGACACAAAAAGATTAAACAAATCCATGAATTGGAACTTAAAAAAGGCTTCAGAATTTTTATAGCAACATCTAATACTGAAATCTGACAAGAAAACCTCATATAGTACGGGCTGAAAAACCACGAGTTTCAAATATACAAACGTGTGTAAAAAGCACAGCATTTGTGTATTCTGTATTCAATATATACATAACAAGTAAACCCGTAAAAACAAAGTTTTTCACTATAAATCCTTTATATGCGTGGCATCGGGTCGCGACCGTGCGTGCGATGGGATTACAGTATTTATGCTCCCTGAGGCCAGAGTGTGGCGTGAGTTGGAGTCTGCATGTTTGTTGAAGTAAAATGTTGAACAAAGCACGCGTTGAACATGGTGATACGTTCTTGACTTAACGCTTTCGTGACTGCAGCAGTTCATATTCTTGGGTCTTTCGGTAAAGTCACCTAGTAGATCGGTCTTTCCTGAAGACGACCCCTTGCGTTGCGATCGAAACGTCGTAGTTTTCTGTTATTTTTTTCTTATTTTCTTTGAACCTATCTCCGTGACTTTACCGAAAGACCCAAGAATATGGTGACGTTCATTCGAGCCGAGCCGGAATCCTCTGTAAACACAACATTGCACAATCAGGAGGCATGTACTGTAATGATTTGTTGGTCACGATGCATTCATTGGATTGTACATGTGATGGATTTCCTTAACAGCCACATCATTCAACAACCACGCTGAAGTTCACAACACTTCTCTTTCTATGACATGCACTCGCACTGCTCCACTTGGGAATTCCATCCTGCCATCATCATCATCAGTCTCTTTTTTTCCCCACGCTCGTTTACAGAGTTCGTTTGCCCTTGGTCATGTCAAGAAACGCGTGAGCTCATTTATGATAATCATTATCGTGCAGTTTGTTGCTGGCTGCTTGGCACTATTGGCCTTTGCTCCGCGGGCGTGATTGATTTTTTTTTACACGGCATATAAGACACAAAAAGATTAAACAAATCCATGAATTGGAACTTAAAAAAGGCTTCAGAATTTTTATAGCAACATCTAATACTGAAATCTGACAAGAAAACCTCATATAGTACGGGCTGAAAAACCACGAGTTTCAAATATACAAACGTGTGTAAAAAGCACAGCATTTGTGTATTCTGTATTCAATATATACATAACAAGTAAACCCGTAAAAACAAAGTTTTTCACTATAAATCCTTTATATGCGTGGCATCGGGGCGGCTAGAGTCCTCTCGTCCTCTGGCTTGAGATGGCTGCCACCTATGGGTAAGATGATTGTCTGGCAGCATTAAACAATTGGTAATTCAATATTTTAAAAAAATTCCCTAAACAGTGTAAAATTTTTGAAAAAAATTTTCACGAAAATAAATTGTCACGCACAACGAGTCTGTGTGCAAAATGTCAGCTCGATTGGATCACGGGAAGTGGGTTAAAAAACGACCGAAAGATTTGCACGGTCCTAAGCAAGCAAGCGAACTTAATATATAGGATTTAAAAAGCCATCACAATTACTATCAACTCCCTCTCCGAATTCCATCAGGTCATATCGAGAACACGTTCTCCGTATGGCCGCCCCACCTCCATCTGTACTTTGTGGGGATCTGCCTTTCCTACTGAATGCGAACGCTGAGAAGCAGATGTGAATACAGTCTCTTCACATCATGTACTCGCCACTGGCAGCCGACCGAAGCTCAGAGGTCGCAACCGGGTACCCGATACCCGGCTACCCGTACCCGGCCAGGTACGGGTACCCGTTTGCGACCCTGGTGCGGCCGGGTACGGGTAAGGAATCAAAACCCGTTTGCGACCTCTGCCGAAGCTGTTGTATGTGGAGGGTCTTAATATATTATTTCATTCAATTTATTCTCGCAAGCTCGTGTCTAGGGGTTTTCTTACATCAATTGTAAGACCTTTTCCACAATGGTCACCAGGTCCATATATCCGTCCAGCAGTACAGGCTTTGTCGAGCAATACCACTCGTGAAACAGAAATAGACCACTCGGCACACTACAACGCTTAGTATTTCATAGATCAAAGCATCAACTGGTGTCATAATCACGTCAACTCTGCATCATTATTCTTCTGCAGCATACATGAAAAACACACAATCGACCAACGCAACCGTACCAACCAAGAAAAATCTGAATGTCTCGGTGTATAATCAACTAACGTATAAGCCCTCGAAAGTGTACTACCCCCCTTTATAATGATGTGATTAAGTGATGTTGCAATTAGAAGAGATCTGTTACCAGGCAACCAACCGCTAGATGATCACCTCCTTCGCTCAGGTGAGGTTCAGGGCAGCAGTCTCTCTGCAGCGAGCCACGCACCTGCACGCACTGTCCCAGTGCTTTGAGCGAGGATGCAGTTCGCTCCTCCACGGCTCCTCCAATGTGTCCTGCACAGGAGCCCCAATCGCTGACAAGGCTCTCAGTCGACCGCTGGCCGTGCCCGCGCTGACTGGCGCACGGCAGATGCCCGTCACTGCAGCTGGCAGAGTGAACCTCGGCGTTGTCTCCGGCGTCAGGTGCCAAGGCTTCTGCGCCTCCACTCAGGCGATAGACTCGGTAATGCCTCGTATTAGACTCACATTCAAAGACTAAAATTGTTTGCACTCGTGCAATACTTAACAATATAGGACCACGGAAATGTTGCACTTCTTCAAAGATATATCAAAACCAACCCACATTAGCGACTACAGTAAAATATGCAAACTCAATGATATAGCTTTAACAAAATATGGAAACGCACTGGCGTAAAAACGAAAGAGTTTACTCTCCAAATACTTAACAGTATACAGAAAATATCGGCAAAAACAAACGGTTCTCTGGAAAAACAAAGTCTGTGCACCTCGCAACAGACCGAACAATATCAAGAAACAATAATTCTACCAGTGATACATCAGAACAATTACCAGTGGGTCCTCTGCGTGGGGCAGCCCCCGGGAGCCATGCCTTTCGCATAGACTGATTTGAGAACGTTCAGTTAAATATTAAATGACAATTTTCACTCATAAATATTTACTGTTAATGCAACCAGACCCTGGGATGATGTAGAACCGTAATTTTTAGACTGGTAGGCCGGATGCTATATCCATGTATGATGTAGGCTACTTATTGCAAGGACAAACATCTTGATTTGGGACAAACATTTTAACTAATTTCGGACAAAGGGCCTATTTTCTCGTGAAGGTCCCAGGTGCGATGTCTCTTATTTAGATATTTCTGGGCGTGAGAATGAAAGCCTCCCTTCCTAGACCACATGACTCTGCTGGAAGGCATGAAGGGTCTGTTTTAATGAGCTCAACATACATGGAGGATAAACGAGAGCAACTGAAAGACACTTGTGATTAACAATTGTAAATCTAATTACGTATTGATTATGAAATAGGGGTACACATCCAACGGAGCCCCGGAATCGATTGACCACCTACCGAGGACCCATTTCATCACGGTTATCCGAAACCCCAAAACTCCGTGGGAGTGAGTAACGGAACCTGTTGAATTAAAATTTAACCAGGTGAGAACTCAAGTTACCAGAATAGTCTCATGCACAAAAGTTAGTGGGTGGGTGTGTGGGTGAATGAGTGGGTGAGTGAGTGAATGATGGAGTGAATTATTGTGTGAGATGGTGGTGGCTGAGTGGGTAAATGATTGAGATGGTGAGTGAGCTCAAGTTTGTTTCACCAGCACGAGACCACGATCGTCTCATTTTGCAACATGATCTGGGTCGGAAAAAAAAGCGTGTGATTAGAAATGTAAAATCTTGCATAAACATAAATGAACGTTCAATACATTATTGCCTGTAGTGCATGTCGGCACAGGCAGATTCTTTTATACTAACCATAGTGCAATTATGTTATGGAAATATAATCGGGCGACTTGCACTAACGTGTAAACAACACTGGTAGCTCGTTCAGCCACATTGCAGAGGTTCGCGGTTCTAATCCAGCGGCCGCCCCGATTATGTACCGCCGGTGTACGAACCGTAATTAGGAGCCGTCCATAAATGACGTCACGCACCTAGGGGAGGGGGGGGTCAGACATTTGTGACGATGTGTGACGAGGGGGGGGGGGGGTTGAGAAATCTGCCGTCACATCAATGCGCAACTTTAAATAAATATAGAGAACACGTTCTACTTAATTAAATAGATATTTTGATAAATGTTTCTCCTACAACATCAGAGTGCAGCGCCACATTAAATACGCACTACAATGACAATAGTTTAAAGCGATTTGAAGCATGTTTTATTTTGGGGGGGGGGGGGGCAGAGCTTTGTGACGTCATATTTGAGGGGGGGTCTGACTTTTTGTGACGCCGTGTGACGAAGGGGGGGGTCAAAATCGTCCAAAATCGCGTGACGTCATTTATGGACGGCCCTTTACTACTTGCTTGTCCGCTTCACCGTGGATGATAAAATTCCCGTGACAGTTTGTTCAAGGGAGGACATTAACAAACCCGACACTGAGCTACTATAAGGGTCTGGAGTGGTGTATTTCCTCTCTCGCCAATGCTAAAAAGTGAGATTTTCGTGTAACGCTATCCGCATCACACCTCCAGTTAAAAAAAAAGCCCAATGTTAATATAAATAACACCGCTTAGATGTAAATGAGACCTCGTCTAAATGAGACCTGGACGAATGATTTGATTCGAATACTTTTCTCCATTAACCTTTAATGCTTTAAATGCCAAACGAATGGAAAATGTCACTGAAGCGCTTTTGTCACTGGTCTGTGGCCATGGACTAGAAAGAATTGTAACAGCTTCGATCTATTCATGGGCTTCAGACCGAGGCCATGGTGATTCTGTAAATGAACCTTATGGCGGTACCCCAGGGTACCATAGTCCCCCGGCTCTCGCATAATGTCCGTAACGCAGTCATTCTTAGTCTGTTGATGGTCGGCGATGCGGCAATCGACTCATCTCGACGAGCTGTACACGATGCACGATTAAAAGTTGAATTTTTCGAGAACGGATTTTTTTATGCTAATGTTTGGCATTTCGACATCGCGGAGTAGCACTGATTTCGGATTGATTGGTACCCCAGTCGCAGAATTAAGTACACCCCTGGAAAAAAAAAAGTGTCCCAGAAATAAAATATTTAATTGCCTCTGCTATTTTGTATTATTTGGTACCCCGGGGTACCGCCATGCTCGTGAACAATATTTAAAATGAAGCTCTTGATTTGCATGAATGCGCTTTGTTCCACACGTTCAAAATGTTGTGCCTGGTACAAAACAACTAGGAAACCAAATTCAGATGCTCATATTGTTTATTCGTTTTGGTGAGATACACAAGGCAGATTTTAACCCGTTCAACAGAAAACCCCCACTTAAATTGTTAACATGGTTTCTTGATTTTTTTTTCAGTGTGTATAAAGTAAATTAATGAAAAAATATATATACATTTAATCTGGGCAAGTTGTGTCACATACATTCAGATGCTAGTGAATATAGCTGCTTGCAGTTCAGGTCATACCTGTATCTCTTACCTTTATCCTCTATGAAATCCAACAGGTTACTTTGGATTTTAAAGAGCACTCAACACACACAATGCACCCATCTGAAACTCTCAGGCAAGTAACAATTCATCTTCCCATAAATGTCATTGTCACTGTTCAGGGTCACGATTTCATTTTATAACCGTCAAGTTTTTACAATCTTCTTTATTCTGCATTGATTGTATAGTTTTGTCTGCTCCAACAGCTTACATGTGATATGAACGGATCGTTTACATATTTATTTCATGTGTTACAACAATGCTCACATATGATTTGATGCAAGTATCATAAACTTAATGCAAGTATCATAACAGTAAGACAAAAGACCAATATTCCACTTAATTATATTCACCTTGTAATAGTCAGTGTTGTGCTTTTAAAATTATGGCTTAGCTCAGTAGGGTTGTCCAACCCAGTGGTATAATCACTTTACCACATCTTGCACTTCTCTAAACATTTTCCGCCCAGATATTGTTTTCCAATCTATTCCGATGCAGCAGACTCTCAATTATCTGCAATTACGTTAACCGCACATATGCAGTAGTTATTTGGTAATCCACGATGTTAAAATACCGGTGTCTAGCCTATTATTCGTCCTGACACCCTTTCACCCATCTTCGTTATGTCTTTTGCTTGGTGTTTCCTGATCTGCTCATGCACATCTGACATGCGAGGACACCCCCCGTTACACCTTCCCTTTGACATAAAACCTCTGAACTTCGATGACATCAACGTTTCCTCCCCATGGAAGACAGCAAAGCAATGCCCGGGCCAAACGAGATCCTGGTGATGTGCACTGCGAACACGTGGTGTTGGTGACGATGTTGAGGGCGACGAGAGGTTGAGTCATAGTTTTAAATGGTTATTGATCCCTTGGGTTGGCTTGTTGTGGCAGGCACTACATGACCTCGCTTGTATTATCAATTCTGCCGATGACAATATCATCCGGAATGTCCTTGATCTAGTCAGAACTTGGAAGCTAAGCAAAAATGAGCCTGGACATTTTATGGACGATCACCATGCACAGCAGCAGATTGTTGTCAGCTGCTGTGGAGCTACTTGGTAGGTAGCAGAGGGGAGTGCAGCAAAATCCATTGTTTTACTGCACTCCTGTGCCCCCACATCTACGCTCCCCACCTTCAAATACGGTAATTGCCATGACCCGCACAGCATTTGAATTCCCTCATCCAGCAGTGGATTGACAAAAGGGCTGTTCATGTACACGCATTATGAATGGTAGCGATTGGGTGATTATGGCCAGGATGGTCTGAACAAAAAAAAAAAACCCTTCATTAAACACGACGCTGTTCGTTTATTTTAATTACCATTTCATAATTCCTCACTAGTGTTTATCTGAACATAGGCTTCCCCACCAGTTTATCGCGGTTAATTGAGAATCCCCCGTCACTACTGCACCCGCTCACGACCGCCCTCACGTCTCCCTAGCCCCGACTCACGGATTCGCCTGTGCCCTCAGCGCTCTCTTGCGCACCAGGCGGGGACTGTGAGCGTTATCGAGGCCCACGTCACCTAGCAGGGTCAAGTCGTCAGCGATGCTGCGCACGCTGCGATCGCAGGCGAACTCCTTACAGCCGCACTTCTCGATGAAGGTGTACGTGGCATCGAACCGCGTTCCGTTGGAGCAGAGGAAGCTTGTGCTCCGTGGGCGAGTCTTCATGTCTCTGCAGCACTTGCATGTGTGGTTGACGCTGTTTCCTTGCTCCGAGTACCTGGACACACCAGGGTCACCAAGCTCATCGTTATTTCACGGTTCGCTACGTATCGCTTCTTGCTCTAAAGATACCGGACGGGGGCTTGTGTTGCCTCCGAAACGTCGTGATTTAATTTATTTTTTACCTACGTGACTTTACTGAAAAAACCAAAGAGTATGAATCATTGCAGTCACGAAAACTTCAAATCTAGAATTAATACCGGACTCCGTTTAGCTGTGTTCTAACTACGAATGGGAGGTGCGGCTGCCTCCTCGAGTGGTCAATAAGCATAACTGTGACTGCAGTAAGGTGCGGTCCATGACTAACATCAATTTGTAAAGAATAGGTCTCTATAGTCGTCTATGGGCCTCTTATGGGAGTCTATAGGTCTCTGTGGGTCTATGGATCTCTATGGGATTGTAACTGTAGCGTAGTGCGATCCATCATTCAAATCACCAATTTTTCCCCCCCACACACGCTTTTGCAGGAGATACAAATGTAGTCCATCTGGCGATCCTAGATGCCATCAAAAGGCTTTCTAAACTCAACACGCACAGTTTTCAACTCGGTCCATTGCAATTCAAATCCCTTTACAAAATAAATATTCAACAGAATTTGCTCAAACAGAGACTCCGAACGTACATGGAGTAGGTGGGGCAGGAGCCTTCGCAAGACACCACCTCCACGGGTTCCACACTGCTGCACGCGTCGTAGAAGATGTACTTGGACGAGTTGAACAGTCGGCAACCGCCTTGTGACATATTACCTGAGGACAGAAAAAATATTAACACAAATCAAACTATTGAAATAAGGCACAATAAAATATCATATGGACTTCACTGTGATTTTTGTTGATAATACAGTGAAACATTAGTAATTTGCATTGTTTGCTATGTGTGGGTCAAAGCCCTTCCACATTCCTGAGGCAAGAGCCAGGTCCTTAACAGGACAGTCACTGTTGAGGTGCAAGAGAATGAGGTGTGGAGTTGAGGCTATGACACTGGCAGAGAATGACTACGTGGCAGGGTCTCCGAGGTTGCTTCACAACTCACAGCCTCAACTCAGGGGTGGCAACTAATCACGTCGCACTGCCCGCAACATAGCCTTGCCGTGCATCTATAACGCCTGTTATGCACGCTGGTCACTTATCCAAGTACTACCAAAGCTCAACCCTGCTTAGCTTCCGAAATCTGATTAGACCGGGTGCTTTCTGGGTGATTTGATGAGGGGTAACGCATGTGCGTATGTTGAACTTCTTTTGCACCGTACGTAGCCAACCGTGATAATCATGGGTATTGCAATTCACAAATGCCTCAAACAGAATTCTGATATTTATAAAAAAAATGCACCATGTTGTGTGTTTAATAATTGATTTACAATTCATCCAAATTATATACTCATAAAAACATGTCAATTGAAATATGACTCACAATAATGACATTTTTAAAATAAACTTCGTAGGGGGGGAGATCGTGAAATGTCCATTGAATTGACTCAATGAGGAGCAAAGTCAAAAAAGTAAAAATGATTTCCTGCTCAAAAGAGAATGGGGGTGGTGCTCATCTCGTGTGTACAGCTCTGAGGCGGTGGTGGAGATTCCACATTCCTATGACAGGGGCAAGTATCCATAGAGCGATCGGACAATCATTGTTGATTGGAACTCGTAACCTTCGCAATTGAGCCACTTGCTCTATTGGTGGGTTCATTAAGAACACGCATTATAAAATAATATCTCGTTGATTTTTACAAGAGTCATTTACTTCTGTTCACTTACAGGTTTTACAGCATTTTGCTTCATCCAGCATGATCGTTCCCTAAACGAGAAAAAAAATCACATTGCATATATTTTCAGCACACTTTTATTGACAGGACCTGACAGTCGTACATATATATTCTATTGATGTGTTATAATAGGCATAAACCAAATGCCCAAAGATCTCAGCAGACACCAGTTTCTTATTGTAAAATAATTTAAATAACCATTAGCAACATCGCCCCCTACTGACCAACTAATGTCGACTTGCAGGCCAGTACTGTGTCTTCTGGAGATTGGAATCATTGTGATGTAATGTACTTTGATATGTTGGTGCATTTAAGTGCCATGTATATACAAATCTTCATCCTCGTTTACTGACCCCATCAGATTCTGGTGTGTCAGTCTATTAATGTTTAAGGAACCCATTCGGGACAAGTATCAGGAGGAACCCTAAGGCTTAGTTTCAACATTCTGCTTATCCTGGCCCACGTGCGTGTGGAACTTGATTTGATTAAAATACACAGATACGTGAAGAGACGAAGTATGCATTCTGACCTCTTTGTGTTCGAGAACGGCCCACAATAGTGGATATCACAGAGCAAACTCGGAGATCACTTAAAAGTGACCTCTGGTTCACACAGTAGGGGGCAGCACTTTCTCAGCTACCATGCTGTTATGTTTGTCACATGGCAGTCCAACCTACATTTTTGTAGCATATTAGGAATGAACCACTCTTTTAATTATTTCCTTGTGCAGCAATGGAGTAAAGTGTGGTTTTGTGAAGGTCCTTATGTGCTGTGCAGTAGTACATCAATGCACATGTGTCCACCAGCATGCGATACTGAGTCGGGCCTATAGGTGGCTGGCAGGGTTATTGAGTAACCAACCTGTACACAAGTCACGTGGTTAATGGCAACTCGGTTGAGGATTGCTGTGTGACACACGCGCTGTTGCAGGTAAAGTACCCAAATGTTGTTTTTGATAGTTAGATAAATGTTCTACTCTTTAAACCTTGGCTTTGAATTGGTAGTTTGTAATATATTCAATAGGAGGCGGTCTAGCACTGTACACTGTAAAGGATGACATACTGTATTTAATACTGTTAATTCTCTAAGCTTGATACTGTTTATTCTATAGCCATGCCCATGCACCCAGAGTATGACTACTTGCAATGATAATAAGAATAGGACACATACAGTAATAAGTTGTACAATGGTGACAAGTACAGTACGTATACAGTACAGATAATGGGTGTAAGATACTAATATAAGTGGATGGTATAAATAGACATACAGCTTAGGATTAAAGTAATATTCGAATAGCAAAGTGGAAAGGTTATGATGAAAGACAAAGATGGTTGATCAGTAGTGGAATTGGGTTTAAGGGAAACTGTTATTAAGTAACCTGACCTGGACACCAGTCACGGCATTAATGGAAACTCGGTTTAGAATTGCTGTGTATGTGACACACGTGCTGTTGCATTTTACAGATTATAACAATAGATGTGTTTGGCCTCGATTTGGAGAACCTGCCCACGTCCTTGATTTTGAGTGTGCAACATTTTTCATTCTCAGAGCTAGATTTTGCAGAACATTAACGCGATGATATGTGTGCGTGGTGATCAACGACTGGGCTGAGCCCATCAATTCACTGCACTTGAGATGCTGGTTTAATCACAAGCCCGGATTCAAAGTCAGGTTCTCGACAGTGCCAGCTCATCGCTCTGACCTCTTGAGCCACTAGGCCACCTCCCCACAACACGGTTCTTAACACGGTGTCCTTAAAGTGCTGCTGTGTGCTGTTACCGGCAGGCAGTAGTCAGGGTTGAAATTCTGGGAGCACTGAATGGTTTGTGTGCTCTCAATTGGCCCTCCATTGATAGAATCACAATGCAGAGTCGTGCAGTTGTCTTGAGGGTCTTGCACAGTCTCTCCAGGCTACATCAACACAAATCATGTCATGATTAACAACTTTAACTATGCCCATGCTTGCTCACTTGGAAAATAACAAACCAAGTAAAACAATATTGTGGAATTGCAGATGTTGCCACCATTAGGAGTGATCTTTATCAACAGATCACTTCCACTCGGTATGTAGCATTCCGTTACATACACACATACATAATATAACGTGGGTTGCTGATCAGTAATTAGTAAACGTGTTGACATCATTACTCTTCATAATTTGGTTTAATCACAGATAGTCGAAATCTGAATTCGATGCCAGCTGAAAATTGTGCAAAGATGCAGATAGAAATGCGTGCTTGGAATGATCCTGACAGACAAAAAGGGTCAAATAACCCACGGTTATATTACATCACTCAGCCACCTCAAACGAGTGTGTGTGTATACATGGCGTTTAGGCACTGCTATTACACGGTAAGTATCGAGTCTGCACTAAGTGTTGTATGGACACTTTACCTGTAGCAAGATTACTCTTCCAGACATCTTAAAGGTACAGTTTATCTTCCTGCACTCGCAGCACGCCCCCTGTTGGTCCACGTACTCATATCCCTGCATGATTTGAGACAGAAACAATAAAAGGCATAAAGATTACTCCTCGTGGCGAATTCTGTTTAATTGGGGTTGTTACCTTCTATAACATGTTTCTTACAAACATGGATATTGAAAAATAAAATTAACTTTCGATTTAAAGCTTTTGTGACTGCAGGGATTCATCTTCTTGGTTCTTTCGGTAAAGTCACAAAGAAGGGAAATAATAAAATAATAAAAATAAAACATAATAAAATCCAATTCTCACGACGTTTCGGCCACAACACAAGCAGCCGTCCTCAGGTGAAGAACAGCGCTGTCGGAAAGACAGCGTCCCAATGAACACGGTCAAGCTTGGCAGCGTATATTTAAGCTGGGTTAGAGGAGGAGAGCGCCTTGACAAAGGAGTTTACATATCAACAGAGGAATTTAGCATATTAATGGGAAATGCAGATATGGGATTAGTCACTACTTGTGGAATGTGTAGGTGGTGGGGGGTCTCAAAGTCATATTATGCTAGTGTATTATGTAGGATTAGCAGTAATAAAGGGAGGAAGTAGGATTAGCAGTAATAAAGGGAGGGAAATTTTTATAGTAAGGAGCTGCAGCAGCCAAACCACCACGTAAAAAACTAAAATATAACCTACATCAATATCATCAATATACTCAATATACTCTCCAATAAGCTGAGCTACTAACAGTAAGTCAGGCTACAACAGGGTTGGTCCTTCATTAGGATATTTGGCTAAATCTTTACTCTATTTTATTCCAGTGTGGAGAAAATCCAGGAGGGTGCATGCAGACAGAGTGAAACAGGTGTGCGGTCGATCTCACCGTTTGACAAGTCTGATTACAGATTATCTTCTCGCACGTGATCTTGTTAAACTTTGTTGCATCATCGGTCTCATTCGTGCACTCACAAGTGGAGCAATCCATCGAAGGCACTTGGGCGCTGACCTATGGAGAAACCGCAGACAATATTTGTAAGGTAGCCAGAAACCGCCACCAACAATTTCCCAAACTTTGTGGTCTGCCCATGGAGGGGGGGGAGGTACTTGATATGTTTAACCCCCGTTGTGTAATTTGTGGATAATTTTTCAACTTTGGCAAATTTGGACCACGACGTTGACACACAATAGCCTACTCTTGCAAAATATATCATGGCATCTACAGCCATTGACGGCGCACTTTTTGTTTTCGTTAAAACACAGTCGGTATTAATCAGACTATTTTTCTGTACAAATATCTCCCATATAGCCTGTTAGGGCAAGTGCTGTTCGCAAGGATATATTAAGGTCGGGCACGGCCAAAGACAAAGACACACACTGTCACACACAGGCAGATCGTCAATGAAGGCAGTGACAACTCTTACCGGGTATCTTATTCCATTGTAAAGGCACACCCGCACTGAAACAAGCAAATAAAACACACATTTGAACAATGAGATGCAGATTTCCTTAAGGAAGTTAAAACAAATCACACACTTGCATAGGCAGGATCAATATTGCTCCCCACTTGGCATACTGGCAGGGTTGGAGAAGACTTCAGCCCCCCACGGAAAACCCACCCTGTTATCTATGACATCTCTCTACTGAATTTATTTCATGCTTATGTGAACAGAAGTATCTGCAGCACATTGTACAAAGATAAGTACACACAAATACAAGCATGCACGCACACGTACGCAAGCTTATGTGTGTGCACGAATATATGTATCGTCATTTAATATTTATCCTGTGCCTTCATGCGGTACATCTCAAGGCGCCTTGCGGCAGGGGACCCCCAATGGCAGTTGTCCCTGCTTGGCACAAGGTGAATGCAGAACTGGCCTGCAAGTGTGTGTTGGTCTGTCATTAAGTGGCAATGTTGCTATTTGTCTTCCCAATGAAATAATTTCCAATTACAGTAATTTATCACATTTGGACCAAGACATTGGCACACATGGCCTAATATTTTTCGAATAGTCATGAGATCTTTAATGTCCACTGTAACGCAAACAGTTTGTATTTTTTATGAATACACCCGCAGTATTAATCAGGACAGCCGCGGGGCTCGAACCACAAAGCTCTGCAACAAGCAGCAAACGCGCTTCCGCTCGGCCACGTCACCACACACAAGCACGCATGCACTTACTGCACTTGGGGCAGCAGGCGTCGCTGGAGTTTCTGATCGCCCAGCCGGGCTCAGTGCAATTATTGTACCCCAAGGGCGGGCACGCAAGTGGTTTGCAAACCACGGAGCGCGTCCCGGCGTTACACTCGCAAACGTTGCAGTCGCTGTCCCACGTTTCGTTAAGCTGGGGGGGGAGAGAGGTGGAAGGGGCAGTGTGAGTTGCGCCTGTCCCAACCAATTTAACAGTCGTCTTTCTGAGAGGAGGATGGCCCCTTTTTCATGGCAATATGGAATTTCCACTACAGGCTGAGGGCCACCAATAGAGTCTAATGTCACCACAACACTGAACTGACCACGGTGGTGTAGCTTCAACTTTTATTTGTCAATTACATTTTATGTCAAGTGATCTTTATATAACAGCTCGTGAGAACCCATTGAGACCAAAAGTCTCTTTTTCAAGGGAGATCTTTGCTAATAGAGAACAGCGGAGCATAAAAGTGCAACGCAGGACCAAAGCAACATAAACTAAATCATAAGGGAGATGAAATATAATTTAACATTTAAACACAGTTATACATAAGTGAGGTATCGCTCAAATACACTATTGTCAGAGTAGTGAATACAATGTTAGATTTCACAGACGCTTTGTCAATCCACTGATGAATTAAGGCCTCTCCAATTGGTACGAGTCATGGGGGTTCTTTACCCATCATCACACTGGTCAGTGCAGGTGGTTAAAATATCATGCCCTGAACCAGTTCTGATATCGTTCGCCACTGATGTTAGCCGTGGGTTCGTAGCACGGTACATAGATGACTGTGCCACTGCTCCCAGTGAATCTAACAGATCTTTACAAACTGAAAAGAAAGGTTTTTCAATTTTAAATCAGCTGCAGTGTTGTTCCACGTGTAAGGAGTGTCACGACTGACGGAAGCTTTCCAAATTTGCTATTTCTTTTTGGAACATGACACAATAATTTTGAAGTAGTCTTAATTCATGGGGGTTTGTTGGAGCGGTCGAATCAAAATAAGAGAGTTCAGAGGCCACTCCTGGACAGGAACAAACAAGGAAAGCACGGAAGAGAAGAATATGGGGGAGGCCCTTGCCTAGATATTATTGGTGGTGATTTGTAAACGCCTTAAACACAAACTTAGGCCACTGCATGCTTCTCCTTATTGACAGCAGTAAGCAACCCATCAGAGAGATCACTGTGATGGGCAGAGTAGTTATCAGCAGAATTAAAGAATAAACGAAACAAGATCTGGTTTAGATAGGACCTGGTGACCTAGATTGAAAAAAAAAATTGCGTGTTACCGATTTCAAAATTAGATTGTATTCAGCACTCTTAAAAACCTCCAGATGCAATCAAGCATAGCCTAGGGTAAAAATTACATTAAAAAATGTTGCCCTGTTTCAATAAGAAATTTTGGAATGTTTTTGTTTTCAGCAAAGAGAAAAATTTCGCCTTTTTAGCCCCTTTTGATTAGGTCAAAATTGACACCACTCACTCCCTCATTCAATTACTCTCGACTGGCAACTGTGTATACAAATATTAGATTCAGTGACACGTGTAGCGTCGAGTGACCCAAGTTTTACCTTTTTACGTTCACCATTGGATCCAGCACAGCCTGAAACACAAATTCAGCAGTTGATTAAAAATGTTTAAACAATTATCATGGCACTGCCATTTGCATCACCCTTATCACCATAATAATCATAATAACACACCAATTCATCACAATATATTAAGCATTAAAAACTGGAAATTCAGCTGCCTGCGTATGTCACGTTGAGGTAGAGGCACTGTCTACGTACCACAGTCTGATACGCATAAAGACTCCTTCATTGAGGAGTCTGTAGAGGTCAAGAGAAACTCTCCTTCTGGGCAGAAGCATCCCTCATATGTTCTGTTGCTGATGTTGATGTCTGGGATGTCTCTGCGAATAGTTCATTGAAAAATACAGTAGTTAGGAAACTACCCTATCTTCCATATGATACTGCTAGTAATAGTTCATACAGTATTGTCTGCATCATGGTCATGATGATAAGAGCAGAGCACGTGGTAGCAATTGGTGAACTGGTCTCCTTGCGTGTCAGTCTTCTAGTGCTCTGTTAATAATCTAAAACATATTTTTACTAGAAACCTGCACAGTTGTTGCTCACTTCACAAAGAAAGAGACAACAACTCGGAGGGACGAACCACAGACAAGTGGGAAGGCAGCCAAGCGGTGGGGCCGGCACCAACAATTTCCCAAGCTCTGCAGTCGCCTAAATATGAAGATTTTATTGAGTAATTATGTGATTATTTACATGTCGGAGGAAACTGTAGCGCTCACAGAAAACACACGGTAGCGAGGGGGCCGACGCTCTATCCTATACAAATGGAACAGATGGAGTTCCACATTATGCTGTCGCCTTCTCCGGGTGAGCCAGGGTATAAGCGCCTCCTCAACGCCCACGGGAAGGATTACAGGCCACTTATATAGCCACAGCCCCGGGTCGCCCAGCTGACAAAATTGTGCTCTCTTGTTTTTTAACATAAACTTTGAAAACACATTTAATTCATTAAAACATTTCATGAAAAATATATTTCAGCCCCCCCACCCCATAAGGAATATTTTCACCTGCCGTGATTAGGTAGGGGGGTAGGGGGCAGTTGCGTGGCTGAGCCCAAAAAACACGAGTGGCTCACAGAGTGATAGGAACCAGAGGTAGGGCCCTGACTCAGTTCCTTAGTTGTTCTTGGGCCCAAGAAAACCGGTTGGTAGTAGCCATGAAAACAGCACACCATTTATGTAGAGACCCCATGAGACTGATGTGTCGATCTCCCTGTTTTCTTTTGACTTCATAGACAGACAAGAATACGGTACTTAAATCCCGATATCAATAAAATTCACACATTACAATTTTAATACATCTTACTTCAAATTGCAGCTTTTATCAAATGTTGTACTGCACTGATGGTAAACTCTTCCTTCTGGACAAGTGATATCTGTAAACAAAAACATACAGAATATTACAGTACACTGTAACAACACACAATCGTGACGTACTAAAGATATGTAGATATTTATAGCTGATATAGCTTCACCACACCCATTAAACTTCACCACGCGAGTGAGTGCGAGTTGGTGAACTGTATTTACCACCCAGTAAATATTCCTCCTTCGGTGTGCAGAGGTAGCAAAGGACACTGCATTATTAACAAGGCGAGCCGAGTTTGATTCCCAGCCATAGCGAGTGATGTCAGAACCAGTCCTACCCTCTCTTCACCAACCCTGACAAACTAGGGTGGTGAAGTACAGTCACAAAATCCTTATGCATGACATCCATTTGTTGGATGGATAATGGCTGGATCTTTTTACTTTTAAATGTACGGAAAAAAAACACTTCACTGGAAGGGTACTTACCGCATGTCCCATTTGTGTTTTCCCTCCATGGAATGCAGAAGCCGAATTTTTCACATTCCTTGGAGTAGGCCTTGATACTGGCACATGCAGCATTGCTCGTATTTTGTGCGCACTTGTCAAAGACGCAAGAATCATAATAGATGTCCGGGGACAACATTTTGTTGCAATCAGCGAACAAACTGCATACACAAAGGCATAAATCCATAAGTTTATCCTCGGGTAGGCTTCTGGGGTAAGTGTTGTGGTGAGTGCTGTCAGCAAGCACCTATTAAGGCACTTGAAATAAGAGTGAAGCAAGAACCATGTAGAACTATGGGCAGCATGGTCAGACTAATTATGATGATTGTGATCCCTGGTACACAGAAGCCGATGTACTATTTATGTATATTGTCAAAACACTGAAAAAACTAAATCAATTCTAAGTGTATAGGCTGGCAACAAAAGAGTCAGAATATTTAATACACACAACATAAATATTTTACATATTTGAGATGGAGATCTATAATAAGACTGGAGGGATTGTGCACCTAGTATGTTGATGTCACGTGACATTCCAGGCATGATGGGAGGACCTATACTTTGGTCACACTCGTGCTTCTTGCTGTCTAGAAAGCACGTTTTGCATGTATCATTACTAAAAATGTTTTAGTGAAACTAAAAACTTGATCCTCATTTGGTGGAAAATACTCTCTTACATCTATAATACAGTTTTTGTTGGGTTAGATCGCGTAAATATGTGTCGTTAAACCCGTAATTACAACTTGCTGGCGAAACGTCGTACTCAGATTGCAAATGTTGTGGCTTTGCTCTCCAACACACTGGTGTGCTGTACTAGTGTTGAGGAGTAGAATGATGACGGGATGTCACACTCGCCTCGAGAGGAGTGACGTCATGTCCCCTCGGGGTATTTGAGGGGGGACCGGTGACACAGACGGGGTCTTCGCCGGGAACCGGGAACGTGAGCGGTGGGGAAGTGGGGACCCAGGGTAAGGGAGAAATAGCACTAGGCTAGGGGGGCTACTTTACCCGGCTGGCCAAGTTGGATGAACCGTCGGTCAGCGCTGTGGGAAGAGCCCGTTAGCCTGGAAGGCGTAGGGATTTCCCAGTACCCTTTCCCCTGGGGAGATTTAGCTTAGCCAGTGACTTGTGTTAGCCCTTCCCAAAAAGCTAGGCGAAAGCCCTTAATAAACCGTTTGGCGTCAGCTCCGACAAGGTCTGCCTTCGTGTCGTGTTTCACACCTCAACACTAGTATTGGCATGTTGTTTACGTGATCAACCTTACTAATTGGCTGTGTCGGGTGGTGGTGGGTTTAACGACACATTTATATATTTACGCGATCTAACCCAAAAAAAACTATTATGGATGACATTAGTCGCGAAAGCCTACGTGTTAAACTGCCTCTCTTACATTTAAAGCCATCGGGTTTCAGATGAAGACACTGTACCAAAAAAGCAGCTATTAGGACAGTTTAAAACAATAACTATCCTTTTATGGATAAGAATAAAATATGTTCACGTGTTTCAAAATGCTGACATATTGGACCATCGTGATTTTCCCTCATATTGAAAGACTGGCATCAGCAATTAAGCAGCAGGCTGGTTCGCAAATAAAGCTCAAACAAAGAACCCATTGCGCAAAATTAGAAAATGTGTCAGTCTTTTCCCTAATTTCCAAAGGAGTTATTGAAGGCTCAGTACTTGGTTCATTTTTGATTTCATTATGCAAAAAATGTTGCCAGTTAATACATAAAAATTGTTTATGCCATTATGGCCTTATATATGCAAGGAGTTGACCTAGATTATCATCATCATCACATTAATAATCATAATCTAATTTATCATCGTAGCAAATTGCCCCACCATTCATACGTAACTGGTAAAAACAGAGGGCTTGTGCCCCACCCACTCTGGATTGTGTAACCGATCTCAATGGGTTCTGACCTGTTGTAGAGCACCCTCACAATGCATTATATATTAGTGAAATCATAATCGTGTGTGCTTTGACTCAGCAATTAAGACAATATATATGTACACAAACCTGCTCTTGAGGATGTCGCAGGGCTGGGATGGGCAATGTGGCCTTGGTGGTGGTGTTGGTGTGGTGTAATTACACGTGGTCGTATTCCAGGCGCCTGCCATGGCTGCACAGGAAACTGGGACACCGTCTGGCAAGCGACAATCGTTCGACGGGACGTTGCTGCACTTCCCTGAAACGTCAAACAACCCATTCGTGTCAGGAATCTTCAATTCACGTACAATTTAAAGTATTTAACAAACGGTTAACCCAAATGGTCTATTACCCCAAATTATAACAGATGTTGACATTTTTTTAAATCATATAATTGTAATATACGTAATATACTTCCTATTTAATGCCCTGAATCCAGCAGGCAATTAACGTTTATAAACTAAAAATATACTATTTTTATTTTACCAGGAAAGGCCCACTGAGGTATAAAGCTCATTTCTCAGAAACGACCTGGCCACAAATGACAGCTCAACGAAGTAGCTTATCATGTGAAAATGTATAGCAGCCAAATACTCTGCATATCTATATCCCTGCAATGAAGCCTTTTTCCTGAAGTGTCTTCCAAGAAATGGACATCGCTGCGTTGACCTCTTTAGCCGATGCAAAAATCTAGATTGAAATCTCATTTCTTTAGAACTGCTTTTTGTGTTTAGTTTGTTGTCCTTTCCTGCACCTTGGATTAGCACGGTTGAATATGAACGTTGCGAAATAAGTTAAACATATGTAGTGACAGAACGGTCACTACTGTGTTGGCCCGTACGAGGGCTGGGGGCCCCAAGGGGGTGCCTGGGGGGTCACGTGCTGGAGGGATCCGGACCTTCCCAGAGGTGGGGGAAGTGAGGCGTGGCCTGGGAAGTGAGGCGTGGCCTGGGAAGGGAGGCGTGGCCTGGGCGGAGCCGGCCACGCCAGAGAGACGAGATATAAGGGTGGTGTGAAGGCAGAGCAGGGCTGTTCCTGAGAAGAATGAAGACACCTCGTGAAGATGCCAGAAGAGAGGACCTACAGTGAGCGAACTGCCAGCAGCCACCTGGCTGGGTCACGCTGGAGCGGCTAAAATACAATGGTGTGTTAGCTAGTGTAGGTCGGTGGTCACCACCCTATGTGTAGAGTAAGAGTAACTGTTGAGTAAACGTTGTGTTAATTAATAAATGAGTGTTGCCTCCCAAGAAGTGTGTGCGCCTAAATTGAACCCACTACACATACATACAAGTGTCGGAGCATACGCAAATGAACTCCCTTCCCAGGGGTCCTACCTGGCAAAGCCCCCAAGCGAGCTCCCTTCATATCCCCAAGTCTCAACATTAACGGTCCATTTAATGCAGCTATGAAGCCTGTGGCCAACCACTCGGCCTCCTCCTCCATTCACAACTAGGTTCCTTCGATAACAAAATCTAGGGGAAAAAGCTTTAGGGCTCCTCCATTCACAAGGAGAACTAACCCTGGTTGGCAGGGTCAACCAATGTAAAAGTGAGACGCATGCCCTAAAGCATCTTCCCTTAGATTTTGTTATGGAGGCCCCCCAATTAAGTTGATTAGACCGCGTGCCCCGCTGCCCACATAAGTTACAAATACAACTAAGGTTACTCAGGCTACAATACAAACCGATCACACGTCCATGCCAATGCAGTGTTATAAAGGCATTTGTTTCATGCTGTGTACACGTATTTTTGTGCTACTCAGGAATTAGTTTTATGTTGTGTATCAGTGTGTTTTGTGTTCGTAAGGCACTTGTTTTCTGTTGTGTAGGAGTGTGTTTTGTTGCCACAGTGTGGCGCCGACGTTCCCCACACACATCCAAACAATGTTCCTGCACGGTATCCCTTGCCAAGACCTGCGCCCTCCCCCAGGGCCACGTGACCCCACCAGTTTGGAACAAACTCCTAAGCTAATTTTTAATTTTGGGAAGTAAATGGAGTTGCCTAACGCCTAGGACTTTTTAACAGTTAACGGCCAATTCGTTTCACTTTTTGCTCTGGTGTGAGTGTTTGGTCAATCTATAAATCTAATATTTATAATGTACCACATTCAGCAAAAAATTGAAGTGCAGATGACACTGAGAAAATGTAACTAAATTAAACTAAACAGAAGAGAAAAAATTGTTTATTTAGTCTGGTTGTTGGAAAGTGGTGAGTGGAATCAGTGTTCATCAAAATGTGACTGGAATTGTTGGAAGGCAGGGCCAACAGGTGAAGGGTGGGTTTTATATATATAACTCTAACCTAGCAAAGAATCAAATTGCGCGATGAATCTGCTATGTATGAACTATGCACATTATATTCTAATGGTGGGAATAAACTTAGACAAAACATATATCACGAAGATAATATGAACGAGACAGTATAAATAAATATGAATACATCAAATTGGGACCCCAAACTATGAAAATGACTCCCTCCCTCTCTATATTATGCCAACTGATTTCTGTACAGCGTCTAGAGATGTGGTAGCATTTAAATGCTATATAAATTAATTGCGTTGTATGCTAAGTGGAATGTGTTGTAGAAAGCACTTTGCGTTTGCAGCAACGTGAAATGGCCACTCACCACATTGCCCCTCCGTCTTGTTCCCAAAGATTGCGTGTGACAGCACAATGGAGAACGTTAGGCCATCAAAGATTATCCTAGAGTTAATCTTCTCGAAGTTCACAGTCAAGGTGATTCCAGTGTAATCGATGGAGAAATTACCTTCACAAATGGGACAGGTTCGTCACGAAACAATCTGCATACATTTTTGTCTCAAATGCATTTTGCTATCTATGGAAGAATACATTGTTGTAACATATTAATGGTACTTATTATAATTAATTAGACTTTATAGAGCAAGCTGCTTGTTTAGGAAGGTTATCAGCAAGCGCAGTATTGGGTATACAATATTGGAAAATGCAGAACATTACTTTTCTTTACAATCCACCTTGAAAGTCGATGTAAGCACTCCAGATAAGATTTGGGTGATCGAGTAATTTCCCCTATAATTACGGTACTCCGTGAGTAAAATAATTTCAGTAGATACAGTGCACAATATTAGCCTATAACCAAATCACCTGGAATGAGCCCGACCCTATCAGACCTCAGAACCTATGAAGGATTGAGCCTGGATAGTGCTTGGATGGGCAACAACCATGCACCGGATCACTGCGATCTTGGGTCGGAGTACAGAAAATGCTCCAACTATCCAGCAGGCTGCGATTCAATTAATGGATTAATGAAAGTCTTATTTAGCCAGTTACCCAGCTAGTTTGCAAGGAAGATCCGTTCTGTATCAGCACAGCGATTGTAATTGACTCCAAGATGATTTAGGTTAAAACGTAACTTTAAAAAATATGCGGTTCCGAGTGAAATTGCAAGCCTAAGGACGCGGCAGCGGTTGCTGAGGATTATATCATTACTCCCAATGCACCTAGCCAATCAGCTGCCAGTGTGATTGCAGCTTGCACCGTGGGAATTGAGGAGCCATGGAGGCTGCTTCAGTAATATTGAACTCGAACAGTGGTGCCATCCCTAAATGATGTCCCAAATTGACGAGGTGTATTTGTCCAAACCTATCTTATTGAATCACAGTTATTTTCAAGTCACAACTGATCAAACTAAGTCGTTCGGTATTCAGGCCTAAATACTTCCCCCAGCAGTCGTTCATATTCAAGGACAAGTTTATTTGTTTAATCAGATGGTAACTCGCATTTGCAAGAGTGACTTGGGTCACCATTCTGACAAAAAGAAAACACATAAAATAAAGTACAGCATTGAATCAAATAGAAATCAGAGCAACTCACCTGGAATTTTGTAGGGAGTTTGTGTAATTATCCCATTCAATAATACCTGCAAAACAAAGCAATCCCAAACCATCATTTCCTGGAGGTCTAACTCACATATTTATTGTATAAATTGTCAATTTAAGTTTACCCCATACCTTTATGTCGGTTGTGTTGTTTGTCCGCTCCAGTCGAATTTCGTACTGCTCGTAGGAAATGATCAAGTTCTGGGGACACGAAACGCCATCTTGGGCCCCACAATCATACGTGTCGATAAGCACTTTGAAGTGAAAATTCCAGTCTATCCCAGAACCATTGATCTGCTGCACCAGAACATACTGGCACACCCCCTGGAAGTCATATTTATTGCCGCCAAACGTCAAAAAGTGAGGATCTCCCCATCCGTTACAAAAACCTGCATTAAGAGTGGGGGTAGGGTGGCAGGGAGGTGAAAGTGGACACACACACAGAAAATAGAGCATTATAATCAAGCAGCCCTACCTACATCCTGCTATACACAAAGATGCATTATTTATGTATTAACCCTCAGCATCCCACTACACGAAAAAAGACCCCCACACCCCCACCATGTCTTCCACTCTTCACACTCTCTTACCACCTCCATCCTGCGTGCTCAAAATTGTCCGATCTCATCCCACCATGACATTTTTTGCATTCCTCTGTTTCTTTTTCCCTCAATTAGCCATTTGTTTCATATCAGTCATTTGATAATCCAGTTCAGTGTCCTGCCCAGCTCAATTTCAATGTTTTCACTTTATAAATTACAATTGTTATCCGATGGTTTAATGATCAAACCTTATATCTTCAATTGAGTCTAACCTGTTGGCAAACCTGTAACCTTGTTGTTGTTTAACTAGAGTCCAGGTGTATGTCCTGTAGATCTCAACTGGTAAAATAAAAGAACCCATTAGCTTAAAAAAACACTTGTCATTTTCCTTTCATAAAGCTTCTCAATGACCAACATTTGTGTCAAAATGAGGGCTACTAAAATGCCATTATTGGTGCCTAATGTGCTGGCTCTGATTGGCTGTTTGTGCACATGGCAGCCGAATAAAAGCAGAACTACTCTAGGGTGATAAATAATATGGTGGCTCGGAGCGCAGAGCATGCTGGGAACTGGCACAAGTTGCCTTATACTGCTAATCGGATGCCAAAAGCCTTAGATTTTTGTGAACACTTCACAGAAGTAGTAGTGGGTTTTACACTAACTTTAATATCATACGTATGAAAGTACCTGGAACACTGAACGGTCAAATATATGCCATATTTGGCTTTAGTCCTTTAAAACCTCTACTTTAATTGTCTCAAGAGTTGTAACGCTTATTTTTAGAAGCGTTCTGCATTTACATGTTTTAGTGGGAGGAACCTGGAGTACCCAGAGAAAATCCCCACGCATACAAGGGGATAACACTGAAAGCTCCGCACAGATGGATTCAATCCACAGACACTATCCAGAGAGTGGACAAAATCTATAGGTAGACTGCAACTAGTGCTGTGTTGTCATTTCCTGGCAGGTTGACTGCTCTCACAGCCATCATGCACACCTACAATAGAACAAGAGCATGTAGTAAAACAATAATTGGCAAAGCTCAGTGGGGTGTTGAAAAACCCAGCTTAAAATGTGAAGGCCATCTGAATGTGCTCTACAAACTCACATGGGCACTCGTATTCTTCACAGCATCCTTTCTTGACAAGTTGTGGTAGAGCCTTGTTTTTACATACTGGCTGGACTGGGGTTTTGCACTGTTAGAAAATATAAGATGACATGCCAAAGTAAGAACAATATGTACATACAATTACATGCATTTACGTTTACAAACCATCCAAATGCAACCTTATCTTAATGGTATAATGGACAGCGCAATACACTATAAACATGTGGAACTTGCCACGGCTAACACTAGTGGCAAATCATATCTGAAATGGTTTTGTAAATGGTTATGCGAGTGAAATGAAAATACGATATTTACAAACATGCTACTTGGAGGTGGCTGGGTAGCTCAAGGGTCATAACCAATGAGATGGCACCCCTGAAATTCTGGACCAGAATCCTGTTTTCAGTCATAAGTGATTTAACTGAATTCTAAAGTAAAGGCAGGTTGACAGTCTCAGCCCAGTCACCAAATTACTGCTCAAAAAACCATCACATTACATGTTTTTTAATTCAGTTAATTTGCCCTTTACTCTCCCCCAGTCGGTGAATTATGGCAGCGCACACATGGAATGCAGAGCCCCTTGTTTCGATAAGATTTCGCTTAAAGAGATCTCATCCAATTGCAGAATAATTTTTTAAGGGGACTGAAAACTTAATTTCGTATTTATATATCTGGAAACACATGAGATAGAGTGCCATATAATTTTAATGGAATCTGTGGATGAAGGAAGACTATAATCAGGGGCACGACCTATTTCAACGAGGGGGCTATGCAAGATACGAATACGGATGTTTTTAACCCATATACAATAATATGTAGGCTATAACTATATATTAATTCAGCTGCACCGTGAATTATGTTTAGAAAAAGGCAGTCTCACAGTATCGCTAAATAAATAAAAGATGTAAGGGTACAATAAAATAAGTTATCGTGCATCTTGCTTTCATGCTGGGTCTAGGGTCTAGGATTTCCTTAAAGGGGGTGGATCGCGCAACTTTATGATCGATTAATGATAGCCAGATGAGTTAATTGGGCTTGGTCCATGGTAGAGTGCAGGTCATTTTGAATGCATTAAAAACATATTCTTAACATTTTTTCTTATCTATTGATTCGAGACTCCCTTGTGGCCAACTGGGCCCCTATGCATCGCATACGCTGCATACCCCCCATAGTTGCGGCCCTATCATATAACCTTGAGACTAAAATTTGTTTACCCATGGGATCTAAGGATGAAATTCGCCTTACAAACGTAAATTATTGATTGATTACATGAAAAACTGTTAATACATTTCTAAAAACAATTTAGAATACCTCTTATCTGAATAGCCAAAAACGTTTAACTGTTAAATAGCGGCGATAGTATCTGTTCAGAATAAAAACACGATTTATTTGGTTCAGTACTTACTGGAGGGCAGGTGGGAGTTTGTGGAGACGTGTTGATTGTAGATTTCGATGGCGTTGTGCTTGACGATTTTGTTGAAATGGATGTTACTGTTGTGGTTGGCAGTGTCACGGTTGTTGTCTCAGTTGTTGGTTTGTAAGTTATTGAAGTGGTTGCTGAAGATTTGCTAGAAGGCTGGAATGTTACAGTTGTTGATGGAGATTCAGTTGATTGTATGGTTGTTGATGACACTGTGAAGGGCGTAGTGGTTATCGGATTACAGCATACTCGAATCTGGTAGTCTTTGCACAATGGGGCATTATCCTTATTGAGGCAGAGAAGTCCATTGGAGACATCACAAGTGACATTTTGTGCAAAATTGGGGAAGGCTAAATCTGGAGTACCCACGACTTGGCACATGATATTCACAGGATAGCTCGTAGGGCAGATGTCGGTACCACTCTCCCTGATGTGTGCAAATGTCTCATTGTCACCTTCATTTCTTAAGTTGGGGATATCAGAATTGAGCCATTTGGACCACACGCATGCTATAGTTGACTCGGTGATTATTGAATTGGTTGATGAAGGTGCTGTTGTGGGTGGGGGTGTAGTTGTTGATTCTGTGATTATTGTGGTAGATGGAGGTGCTGTTGTGGGTGGAGGTGTAGTTGTTGATTCTGTGATTATTGTGGTAGATGGAGGTGCTGTTGTGGGTGGGGGTGTAGTTGTTGATTCTGTGATTATTGTGGTAGATGGAGGTGCTGTTGTGGGTGGAGGTGTAGTTGTTGATTCTGTGATTATTGTGGTAGATGGAGGTGCTGTTGTGGGTGGGGGTGTAGTTGTTGATTCTGTGATTATTGTGGTAGATGGAGGTGCTGTTGTGGGTGGAGGTGTAGTTGTTGATTTGGTGGTTATTGAGGTGGTTGATGGAGGTGCTGTTGTGGGTGGGGGTGGAGTTGTTGATTCGGTGGTTATTGAGGTGGTTGATGGAGGTGCTGTTGTGGATGGGGGTGTAGTTGTTGATTCGGTTATTGAGGTGGTAGATGGAGGTGCTGTTGTGGATGGGGGTGTAGTTGTTGATTCGGTTATTGAGGTGGTAGATGGAGGTGCTGTTGTGGATGGGGGTGTAGTTGTTGATTCGGTGATTATTGAGGTGGTAGATGGAGGTGCTGTTGTGGATGGGGGTGTAGTTGTTGATTCGGTTATTGAGGTGGTAGATGGAGGTGCTGTTGTGGATGGTATAGTTATTGGCGTGGTAATTGGTAAGATGTAATCTCCCGGTGGACAGCACACTCGGATCTCATAGTTTTTACATCCTCCTCTGTACGGATCCTGCTTTTCTTCCAAGCACAGGAGCCCTTTGTTGACATCACACATGATGTCAGTCCCCGTCTCTGACAAATTCTTTCCTTTAAAATCTCTTGCCCGACAATCTATTAACATGGGAACACCGGTCCCACAGATGGCATGTCCTGTCTTCTCCTGGTAGTGAGCATACGTCTCATTGTCATTCGATGGAGTATTATCATTGGGGTAGTCAATGCTGTCCCATGATGTCCAGATGCATGGACCTGGTGAGATGGTTGATGGAGTTCCTGTTGTGGGTGGGGGTGTAGCTGTTGATTCGGTGATTGAGGTGGTAGATGGAGGTGCTGTTGTGGATGGGGGTGTAGTTGTTGATTCGGTTATTGAGGTGGTAGATGGAGGTGCTGTTGTGGATGGTATAGTTATTGGCGTGGTAATTGGTAAGATGTAATCTCCCGGTGGACAGCACACTCGGATCTCATAGTTTTTACATCCTCCTCTGTACGGATCCTGCTTTTCTTCCAAGCACAGGAGCCCTTTGTTGACATCACACATGATGTCAGTCCCCGTCTCTGACAAATTCTTTTCTTTAAAATCTCTTGCCCGACAATCTATTAACATGGGAACACCGGTCCCACAGATGGCATGTCCTGTCTTCTCCTGGTAGTGAGCATACGTCTCATTGTCATTCGATGGAGTATTATCATTGGGGTAGTCAATGCTGTCCCATGATGTCCAGATGCATGGACCTGGTGAGATGGTTGATGGAGTTCCTGTTGTGGGTGGGGGTGTAGCTGTTGATTCGGTGATTATTGAGGTGGTAGATGGAGGTGCTGTTGTGGATGGGGGTGTAGTTGTTGATTCGGTTATTGAGGTGGTAGATGGAGGTGCTGTTGTGGATGGTATAGTTATTGGCGTGGTAATTGGTAAGATGTAATCTCCCGGTGGACAGCACACTCGGATCTCATAGTTTTTACATCCTCCTCTGTACGGATCCTGCTTTTCTTCCAAGCACAGGAGCCCTTTGTTGACATCACACATGATGTCAGTCCCCGTCTCTGACAAATTCTTTTCTTTAAAATCTCTTGCCCGACAATCTATTAACATGGGAACACCGGTCCCACAGATGGCATGTCCTGTCTTCTCCTGGTAGTGAGCATACGTCTCATTGTCATTCGATGGAGTATTATCATTGGGGTAGTCAATGCTGTCCCATGATGTCCAGATGCATGGACCTGGTGAGATGGTTGATGGAGTTCCTGTTGTGGGTGGGGGTGTAGCTGTTGATTCGGTGATTATTGAGGTGGTAGATGGAGGTGCTGTTGTGGATGGGGGTGTAGTTGTTGATTCGGTTATTGAGGTGGTAGATGGAGGTGCTGTTGTGGATGGTATAGTTATTGGCGTGGTAATTGGTAAGATGTAATCTCCCGGTGGACAGCACACTCGGATCTCATAGTTTTTACATCCTCCTCTGTACGGATCCTGCTTTTCTTCCAAGCACAGGAGCCCTTTGTTGACATCACACATGATGTCAGTCCCCGTCTCTGACAAATTCTTTCCTTTAAAATCTCTTGCCCGACAATCTATTAACATGGGAACACCGGTCCCACAGATGGCATGTCCTGTCTTCTCCTGGTAGTGAGCATACGTCTCATTGTCATTCGATGGAGTATTATCATTGGGGTAGTCAATGCTGTCCCATGATGTCCAGATGCATGGACCTGGTGAGATGGTTGATGGAGTTCCTGTTGTGGGTGGGGGTGTAGCTGTTGATTCGGTGATTATTGAGGTGGTAGATGGAGGTGCTGTTGTGGATGGGGGTGTAGTTGTTGATTCGGTTATTGAGGTGGTAGATGGAGGTGCTGTTGTGGATGGGGGTGTAGTTGTTGATTCGGTTATTGAGGTGGTAGATGGAGGTGCTGTTGTGGATGGGGGTGTAGTTGTTGATTCGGTTATTGAGGTGGTAGATGGAGGTGTTGTTGTGGATGGTATAGTTATTGGCGTGGTAATTGGTAAGATGTAATCTCCCGGTGGACAGCACACTCGGATCTCATAGTTTTTACATCCTCCTCTGTACGGATCCTGCTTTTCTTCCAAGCACAGGAGCCCTTTGTTGACATCACACATGATGTCAGTCCCCGTCTCTGACAAATTCTTTCCTTTAAAATCTCTTGCCCGACAATCTATTAACATGGGAACACCGGTCCCACAGATGGCATGTCCTGTCTTCTCCTGGTAGTGAGCATACGTCTCATTGTCATTCGATGGAGTATTATCATTGGGGTAGTCAATGCTGTCCCATGATGTCCAGATGCATGGACCTGGTGAGATGGTTGATGGAGTTCCTGTTGTGGGTGGGGGTGTAGCTGTTGATTCGGTGATTATTGAGGTGGTAGATGGAGGTGCTGTTGTGGATGGGGGTGTAGTTGTTGATTCGGTTATTGAGGTGGTAGATGGAGGTGCTGTTGTGGATGGTATAGTTATTGGCGTGGTAATTGGTAAGATGTAATCTCCCGGTGGACAGCACACTCGGATCTCATAGTTTTTACATCCTCCTCTGTACGGATCCTGCTTTTCTTCCAAGCACAGGAGCCCTTTGTTGACATCACACATGATGTCAGTCCCCGTCTCTGACAAATTCTTTTCTTTAAAATCTCTTGCCCGACAATCTATTAACATGGGAACACCGGTCCCACAGATGGCATGTCCTGTCTTCTCCTGGTAGTGAGCATACGTCTCATTGTCATTCGATGGAGTATTATCATTGGGGTAGTCAATGCTGTCCCATGATGTCCAGATGCATGGACCTGGTGAGATGGTTGATGGAGTTCCTGTTGTGGGTGGGGGTGTAGCTGTTGATTCGGTGATTATTGAGGTGGTAGATGGAGGTGCTGTTGTGGATGGGGGTGTAGTTGTTGATTCGGTTATTGAGGTGGTAGATGGAGGTGCTGTTGTGGATGGTATAGTTATTGGCGTGGTAATTGGTAAGATGTAATCTCCCGGTGGACAGCACACTCGGATCTCATAGTTTTTACATCCTCCTCTGTACGGATCCTGCTTTTCTTCCAAGCACAGGAGCCCTTTGTTGACATCACACATGATGTCAGTCCCCGTCTCTGACAAATTCTTTCCTTTAAAATCTCTTGCCCGACAATCTATTAACATGGGAACACCGGTCCCACAGATGGCATGTCCTGTCTTCTCCTGGTAGTGAGCATACGTCTCATTGTCATTCGATGGAGTATTATCATTGGGGTAGTCAATGCTGTCCCATGATGTCCAGATGCATGGACCTGGTGAGATGGTTGATGGAGTTCCTGTTGTGGGTGGGGGTGTAGCTGTTGATTCGGTGATTATTGAGGTGGTAGATGGAGGTGCTGTTGTGGATGGGGGTGTAGTTGTTGATTCGGTTATTGAGGTGGTAGATGGAGGTGCTGTTGTGGATGGTATAGTTATTGGCGTGGTAATTGGTAAGATGTAATCTCCCGGTGGACAGCACACTCGGATCTCATAGTTTTTACATCCTCCTCTGTACGGATCCTGCTTTTCTTCCAAGCACAGGAGCCCTTTGTTGACATCACACATGATGTCAGTCCCCGTCTCTGACAAATTCTTTTCTTTAAAATCTCTTGCCCGACAATCTATTAACATGGGAACACCGGTCCCACAGATGGCATGTCCTGTCTTCTCCTGGTAGTGAGCATACGTCTCATTGTCATTCGATGGAGTATTATCATTGGGGTAGTCAATGCTGTCCCATGATGTCCAGATGCATGGACCTGGTGAGATGGTTGATGGAGTTCCTGTTGTGGGTGGGGGTGTAGCTGTTGATTCGGTGATTATTGAGGTGGTAGATGGAGGTGCTGTTGTGGATGGGGGTGTAGTTGTTGATTCGGTTATTGAGGTGGTAGATGGAGGTGCTGTTGTGGATGGTATAGTTATTGGCGTGGTAATTGGTAAGATGTAATCTCCCGGTGGACAGCACACTCGGATCTCATAGTTTTTACATCCTCCTCTGTACGGATCCTGCTTTTCTTCCAAGCACAGGAGCCCTTTGTTGACATCACACATGATGTCAGTCCCCGTCTCTGACAAATTCTTTCCTTTAAAATCTCTTGCCCGACAATCTATTAACATGGGAACACCGGTCCCACAGATGGCATGTCCTGTCTTCTCCTGGTAGTGAGCATACGTCTCATTGTCATTCGATGGAGTATTATCATTGGGGTAGTCAATGCTGTCCCATGATGTCCAGATGCATGGACCTGGTGAGATGGTTGATGGAGTTCCTGTTGTGGGTGGGGGTGTAGCTGTTGATTCGGTGATTATTGAGGTGGTAGATGGAGGTGCTGTTGTGGATGGGGGTGTAGTTGTTGATTCGGTTATTGAGGTGGTAGATGGAGGTGCTGTTGTGGATGGTATAGTTATTGGCGTGGTAATTGGTAAGATGTAATCTCCCGGTGGACAGCACACTCGGATCTCATAGTTTTTACATCCTCCTCTGTACGGATCCTGCTTTTCTTCCAAGCACAGGAGCCCTTTGTTGACATCACACATGATGTCAGTCCCCGTCTCTGACAAATTCTTTTCTTTAAAATCTCTTGCCCGACAATCTATTAACATGGGAACACCGGTCCCACAGATGGCATGTCCTGTCTTCTCCTGGTAGTGAGCATACGTCTCATTGTCATTCGATGGAGTATTATCATTGGGGTAGTCAATGCTGTCCCATGATGTCCAGATGCATGGACCTGGTGAGATGGTTGATGGAGTTCCTGTTGTGGGTGGGGGTGTAGCTGTTGATTCGGTGATTATTGAGGTGGTAGATGGAGGTGCTGTTGTGGATGGGGGTGTAGTTGTTGATTCGGTTATTGAGGTGGTTGATGGAGGTGCTGTTGTGGGTGGGGGTGTAGTTGTTGATTCGGTTATTGAGGTGGTTGATGGAGGTGTTGTTGTGGGTGGGGGTGTAGTTGTTGATTCGGTTATTGAGGTGGTTGATGGAGGTGTTGTTGTGGGTGTAGTTGTTGATTCAGTGGTTACTGAGGTGGTTGATGGAGTTCCTGTTGTGGATGATTCTGTTGTGAGTGCAGAAGCTGATGTGGATGGTGGTCTAGTTGTTGACTCGCTGGTAGTTGAGATAGTTGTTGGAGGAACTGTTGAGGATGAGGTTGTAGTTGTTGATTCTGTGGTTGTTGCAGTAATAGTAGTCGTGTGTTGTGGACACCCTATATAACAAAAGTAAAACAACCACGTTATTAGATGAAACACTTTTCTTAAACACTGCATTGAAACTCATGCTGCTAACCATAGGGGCAACATTTCACGTCATTTACAAGCAACCCCTTTCTTAATGTGTATGCGAGAGAACACAATTCTCAACTGCTCATACTTGAAGCTCAAGAGTTCATCTTGCCCAGTGAAGTTGTACTGCTGCACATTAATCCCAGAATGGCTCTTACATTGTTTGACCACCTGGTTTCAGAAATTATTATTGTTACACAGTGGACATGACCTTCAAGGACCACTCTAATAGTCTCATGATCACCATCATGTGGCTTTAGCTCTTCCCTTTGGTCACCAACCTATGGGTATCACTCCTACACTCGTCTAGTTAATCTGCCAAATTCCACCCTGCAAGTGTTCTCCCCGTCAGACTTTTCTTGATTACATCTGAAATACTCTACCATGTTTTTATTCGAAATTGCTTCACATATCATGCTAAAAAAACTCTGAGCACTTAAATGATACCCCTCAGCAACATCATCCGCGAGCATGGGGTCGACTTTCACACGTAGGTTCATGACACCAAACTTCACCATTATGCCTCCAGCATTGATTTCAGAGCTATAGAAGTGCTGTTCGACTGTTTATCAAATTAGATTATTTGATAAGCTCGAAATTCCTTTAGTTAAATGTCAGAAAAACAGGAGCTATTATTTTTGATTCTCGTCAGCATTTGATGGATCCTCATCCCCATTGTCCGCAACCTTGGCATCCTTCTGGAACCTGTGCTGAGCTTCCTTCTCCACCTCCACAAGATTGCCTGTCCATACCTCACCCCTGCTACTGCTGCTGAAACCCTTGTCCATGCTTTCTTCACATCAAGGCTAGATTTCAAGCAGCATATCTCAATAAACTGCAGATAGTCTAAAATGCCATAGACCGGGTGCTTTACCAAACCAATATTGTGCTACCATTACCCCAGTCCTGGACTCGCTTCACCGGCTTCCTATTAACAAGCGTGTGAAAAACAAGATCCTTGCCCTCGCATTTAAATGCATCAATGTCCTTGCCCCTCCCTAAGCCTGGAACCTTCACTTTGACCTTTATGGACCTAAAATAAACTTGGATAAGCCTAATAAAATCATAATCTACAACGGCCTGGCTGGCTGCGCAAATTCAACAACTGAGCTAAACTTCCGTGCTACAATTCGTAAAGGAAATCATGAATAGGCCTACCAGCTGACTTTCGAACTTAACAAAATGGTGCCATCTGAATTCCATCTCTACATCTCAACAAATATCTAACAAGAAAGTTGAAACGTTTGAAATCTCAAACAGGGTACTGTAAAAACCAGACAAATAAAATGCAAAAAAAAATTAAATAGGTGATATGTTATAAAGAAAACAGGCAAGTAGTTTAGGGGCAGAGAACACAAGCCAACCAAATGCTAGCCCTACATCTAACCCCAAACAACTATCCCACCAGGCACTAGTACAGTACTAACCATCCTACTAACCCTAACAAGAAAACCAACCGCCAAGCCGAACCATAACCAACTATTCAAACATTCCACGAGAAAAAGCCTTCCTACTGATCCTGAACCTATCCATAACCCTACCTCTAGCATTTCACCAGGGTGAATTTCATATATTTGTTTGTATTTCAATTTTAATAATTACAGTGCACATATGTGCCATTAATAAAACAGGAAATACTCTGATTTGGCGCTAAAATTTGCTAAATAAAAAACATTATTCGGGATTTCGTTATAGAGGAAAGCAAGGGATGAAATACACTGGATGGAATCAGCTCTGAATCTTGATCCTGCTGCTACGTCTATGCTCCCCACCTTCACTAACCTGTGCTAACCAGTGTGGTGAAGTATGGTCAAACAATAACCACAATCTGCATGCCCTGGGGAGTTGCTTGAAAAATGTACGTGTATATTTACCACCTTGGGGATCATTCTATGGTGGAATGTACGGTTGTGCTTACCTGGGATAATTGTGCAGGAAATGCCATCGATTGTACAGGAACTAAAGGGCAAACACAGACCCATGTTAATAGCGTACATGCGACAAACGGGACTGAGAGAAAATGCAAGCACAACTCTGCCACCTCGCTCAGGCTCATTTTGAGGGATATAAATGTGTTATCAAGTCAAATGCTCTGTGACATGCCGCTTGATTGATCACATCTTTATTGATCACAGGAGGTTGTGGTATGTGAATGAGTTCCCAATTATGAAAATACATTCCTTTGACAAGTTAATTGGCTTATCGGCCCCGGCACTGCTCATCTGCTCTACCATTTACAACAGTTGAACCCAATAGCTGTGTCGCCATCTCTTGGCAACCTCACAGCCCAGTGGGTTTGGAATTTCACAAATCGATATGTGATCCACTAAGCTTTGTCTCCGAAGCGCTGGATCACACAGGCGTGCGCCACCACACTGAACAAGGCCGGCTGCAAGCGCTGTGCGTGAACTGTGGGCTCACCAGATTTCGCACGAGTTATTGCTTGGAATCCTGTCGTTAGCCTTGTAGGTGGTTCCGTTAGAGACGCAGTCGCACTGCTTCACGCAGGTCATGCTACTCTCATTCAGGAACGGCCGATCACTCGAGCAGGTCGGGTAGCAGCCTGCAGAGGTGGGGAGGTCACGGTGCACATTACAATCGGTTATTAAGATCGCTCACGATACATTGAATCGTGTGAATGAGTTTCGATCGTTCGAACACTTTATGGATTTCTCATGAAAAATAAATGCTGCTGTGGTGTTACGGTTAGCACACTAAAAGAAACAGACTACACAAATCAGATGATAGAAATTACAGGAACCAGAATGCACTTTTAAATCAAATATTTACACAATTCTAGATTTGAAGCTTTCGTGACCGCAATGATTCATATTCTTAGGTTCTTTCGGTAAAGTCACGTAGGTAAAATTTTAAAATTAATAAAAGTAAAATTAAAATAAAAATCACGACGTTTCGGAGGCAACACAAGCTTCCGTCTTCAGGTGGAACCGTCACAGCCCGACAGCTGTATCAAGTAAATGAGAGATTACAAGAGATACCACTCCGTATATATAATGGTTGAGGGGGGAAGGGCCAGGAACGGCACACTTTTTTATTAATATGGTAAGGTGAGGCTTAAGACTAAGAATAGACTGCATAACAAATGACTGAGCCTTTGTTATGGAGAGGTGCGGTTTGTGACTAACGCCTAGCCTACATAACAAATGCTGCAAATGAGACGTCGTGATTTTTATTTTTATTTTACTTTTATTAATTTTAATTTTTTACCTACGTGACTTTATCGAAAAAATCTAAGAATATAAATATTTACACATATGGTGTCATCACAGGGTCACATGGGAACCAACATGCTGCATGATTAGAACCCGATTCAAAATTCGATTTACTGTGTGGTTGACGATGGAGACATTGGCTTAATTTTATCAAGAACCAGACCAGAGAGAAGATTCTCTGATATCGAGTCAATGGTGAAAACACAGTTTAAATGGCTGCATTTCTGGAGCAGTGCCTGGTCTGAGGGTTGGTTGAAAATTGATTTCCACCGATTTTTGGATGTTATATTCTTTAAATAGTAAATTTACTATATTTCTGACATTAAAAAATGCCTTTCTACCCCACATATTAATTATGCTCACAATGTCAGAGGAACGCGAATATGCATTTCCATGGGATATTTTTTTTTTCTGTGCAGGCCACAATATAAAAGATAACTAAAGTTTACCTTTAAAAAAAAATTAACTTCCAAGACCTGCTCAGCGTGAGCTGAGCAGGTCTTTCCTAGACATGTTTCTGAGTAAAACTTTCCCATATATAATTGTGAGTCAAAGGTCAAGACCACGTTGATGACAAATTAAATATTAAATTGAAATCAAAATTCAATGTTTCTGCTAATGTAACATACTTGGTTATGTATTTCTTCTCTATCTGAATTCTAACATAGGGAATGCAAGCCAGCCTGTGAAGCAAGACCCACCCGCAATATTTGGGTGGCAGCCCAAATTGGTGGCCAATTTGAATTGACAAAAAAAATCTAGAAACGCGCCGCCGGGATGGCAACTCGAATTCACGCTTGAGTTATGTGGCTCGTGGAAACGTGGAAATACTGAAGGGTTTTATCTAAAAACATGGCACATGCCAAACCGTCCACATGAGGAGAGGCATCTGCGATCAATAAATGTGGTTTCACGAGAACCCAAGAAGTGGCTTCACCTTCCAGCGGGGGCAGGTTAGCGGTACAGATGGCATTCCTGTTGGTGCAGGAGCGCTGGCAGCCCCGGCCACACTCCCGGTAATGCCACTCGCACTGATCCTCATCCTTGTTGTACAAGTCACAGCCAAGTGCTGTGGAAGATAAATTGCACACGTACAGACAAACACACGAGTGATTAAACACATACACATAAATGAAGAAACACCAAGAAATGGGAACATACAAATACGTAAGTGAATGAACACACCTACATATGAACACAAACGTACGTCAATGAACACATATAAACGTGAAGACATATACGTATGTAATAAAAGGACTCAGACACTTCTTTCTGTCTTCGTGTCCTTTATTGGGTTCTTGTCTTCTCCCACACGGCACTCTGTTATAACTCTGTATTTGTAGCCCCCGGCTGTTGACTGCTATTATAGCTTCCCTTCTCTTCCCGCAGACTCTCTGCTTCATCTACCGTAACCTCTGTTCTCTCCCTGCAGACTCGCTGCTACCCCTATGCAGACTCCCGCTGCTACCCCTATATGCAGACCCTCTGGCTGCTACCGTATGCAGACCCGCTGCTGACTCTGTATGCAGCCCCGCTGCTGACTCTCTGTGCAGCCCCGCTGCTGACTGCAGCCTCCTCGCTGCTTCGGGTCGGTCACCGCTGGCCAACGGTGCCGATCCTCGCTCCCCCGTGTTCGTGGCGATCTCGCCACCCTCCGCTTCGCCCTTCGTGGCCTCTCTCTGTTCCTGGTTCCCCGTCACTCCCTCTCCTCTTCCGGTTCCCCTCCTTCTATAGCTTAACCCCTCACCCCCCCACGTGACCTAACTCCTCCCCTCCTGACGTCACCTCCGGAGGGCCGTTTACGCCCGCATTACACGTATAAAGACAAAAAATACCCATATACCTATGCAAGCCAACATGGTACTCAAGGGGGTGGTGTGATAAGGACTACGCCAGATCGCCTGTTCCTCCCCAATGCCAATGTTACACACCTTACCATGTAATCATTTAAGACTGAGTCGATTTAAAGGAGGCTCATGACCAGTTCAGATAATCATCACTGATATTGGCCATGAGTCGGAATCTAACTCGGGTTTCCAATTATCGTAATGCAGTGCATTGACCACTGCAAAACCACTCGCTGCATACAGACACATATGTATGACAATGCATTCACATACACCTTCATACACATGTAGGTAAACACGTGCAAGTACACTCACACATGTACATGAATAAACACCAGACAGCACACGGGTGTATATAAACACACACCAATGTAGAAACATGGACTCACATATGTAAACAGAGCAATACGTTTGTAGTTGCAGATACATACAGATGCACAAAAATACAAGGAACCCCTATTTAACCATATAGACTGAAGGCGAAAGTGCCAGGAGCGAGCAACTGGGAAAGCCCAATTTATTCTCTATAGTTGCAGTCAGGCACGCCTTATAATGCATCACCGTGCATTTAATGTGTTCAACATTTCACAATAAATTTTCTTGAAAGCTTTGCTTTAAATGGGCAGCATAGTTGTACTGATTAAGCCAATAGTATACATTTATTTTGTAGGTAAGACACTCCAGTGCCTTCCTACATTTGTCCGTTTTTCCCATCATGGTCCATTTACAAGAAAAGGTTAAAACCCCCTTCATTAGAATCTTATAATGACGTGCCTAACAGTGATTTTGAAGGTTGTTTCTCAATCCTTAACATAATCTACGACTATCCAATGCTGGAATAAGGCCTCCCCTCGCCGTTGCCATCTGTCACGGTCTTCAAATCAATCTAGCTCTTGCACACGAGCTGATTGTATCGCTCCATCTCCGCAGTAGATGTGCTCTCAGTCACATTCCTTCCTTTGGCTGCCACTGCATCATTATTCTCAACTACTGGTCATCATCCCTTCAGCAACATGTTCTGCCCAAGCCCACTTACATTTCTTGGCAGTCAATATTGTCCCTAACTTGCGTTTGGTTCTCCAATCCATGTGTTCTTCTTTCTGTCTCAGTTTAATTACAAGCATGTACCTCTCCATACGTGCCAACAATGTATTGATAAAATTCTGATAATAATGCCCCTCCCCGGTGGCTTAAGACTTTTTATGACTGAATGTAACATCAACATACCTCATTTCGCTCAAAACTGCTTTGAGCTTTATCAGGTAGTGAACTCGTAATTAAGTAATTAATTTTTTTAAAAATGTACGTGATGGTTGTTTTTGCATAGTTCTAAGTGAACATCCTGATACCACCAACTGGGTACACGTGGGAATCTGATTCAGCTACAGTTGGTCGGCTAAAACCTGGCGTTGGATTGGTACTCTGAACTCTGACTTTCTATCAGCTCCGCAGAGCCACCCGGACACCTCTATTTGTACTATTCTGTGTCATAGCCGCTGGGTGTGGTGGCTACTCACGGCACAGGTCCGGTGTCCTCCAGCGTAGGCACACGCCCGCCGAGCCGCACGCTTGTGCGTACGACGCTAGCGCCGTGCACAGGCAGTGGCAGTCGCCACCAGTGTCACAACCGCAAGAGTCGCGCACGCACGCAGTGTAGTAGGGCAGGTACTCGACCTGAAAATAAACACACAAAAACACATTAATACGAATGTGAGCATGCACAAAGGCAAATACACACACACCAACGTGTGACCACACACACAAATGCACACGCAGAAGTAAATGAACATGCACACACGCAGACACACACACGTACCATGTTGTGACACTGCTTGAACACCCCATCCTTGAGTACGGAGCACTGCTTGTGTGCCCAGCTCTCACGATGGTGGTTTATGGTGCACGGGTCGGACACTCGCGAAAGGTCAGGGCACCCAGAGCCGGACTCCTTCCAGCCAGCGGCAAACTCGGGAGCGCTCGCTGCCACCGAGCCCGTGCGCGTCACAAAATCGTTGGCCACCTTGCCATCGTAGTCTCCGCAAAGGCCACACACGTGACCCTGTGGGGAAATTCACAGGGGTCACGCTCGCACAGTGCTCACCTCCAATCCTCCCGATCCCTCCACTGGCTCCCAATCCCAGATCTTCAAGATCCTCCATGGACTAAACCCTGCCTGTCTCTTGGCTCTCGTCTCACTTCACTGCCCTCCATGCACTCTCCTACCAAGCTCTACTCATTTTACTTTACTTCCCTCCATGCACTATGCTGCTCCAGCAACCTAGTCTTTCTGTCGAAACTCCCAGCCAACTTTCGTTCAGTGGGAAGTCACTCATTCTTCTATGCTGCCCTAGCGGTTAGAACTCCCTTTCTTCAGCCATCCGTGCTGTCAACTCCCTGATCCTGTTCAAGTCCAGCTTAAAACCTCCGTGATATTTGCTTAGTGTGTCTGACTTTAAGTAAGAGACACTCAGAACCCAGGATCTTAGTGGTACCGGCCCAACTTCTGGGATGTGGAGTTAGCTCCCTGAGTGACACACGGTCGTCTCTGTGGCCAGTGACTCCCCAACTACCGGCTAAAGCCATTCCAAGTGACTGATCTCTCCTGTACCTTGAGCTGTGGGTTCACGTGAACGGACACGGCCGTGTGACCATCCCAGATGACCGTGACCCCGAGCGACGTCTCCACCACAGTGTAGATGCCCATGCGGCGCACGTGGAATGGCGACCCCGGCAAATCCAGCGAACTCCCCTTTACGGTTCCGTCCGTCAACACCAGCTCGTCAGCCTTTTAGGACACAGCATGAGCAGTGCGGTTGAGTTTATGAGGTTATATGGCCAATTAGGCCATCGCGGCTTTGTGCCATGAGATTCATAATTAATTTGGAACTTTGAAGACCAGTAGGACCCACCATATCAAAGAACAGCCGAAGGAAGGATATAGTAGAGTTACCTCTGAGAGCCATTCAGGTGAGCTCTATTCCACATGGCAGGGGGCAGCAATTCTCACCTGCTTTGTCACTGGGAGTAATGTTTGTTGCATGGTAATCAAACTGATAGTCTTTTAATTCTCAGACCTGTAATGTAGTCAATTGAAGTGCAAAATCTAATTTTATGTGAAGAGGTTTTTTTGTGCAGTTATATCTTGAATGGGCAGAAAACATAAACTCGCTACTCTTCCAAACCCAGTTTTATCAGAGGCGACTGCCCATTTTCAAAAGCAGGATTTCAGCAGTGCCAGCACAGTGCTCTGACCTTGAAGCAACCAGACCCCATCAGTTTTGTTTGGCATACAAATTTATTTATTAAGCTTCCGGGAAGTTCCAAGATTTTTTCCATAAATTGATGATACTTTAAAGATGTGGGTAATAATTGACATAATCATGAATTGCCATTTTACTTGAGCATAGCATGTCCACCAATTAGCACATGCTATTCGGATATAGATAATTTATCTGCTTTTCTTGGCAAAGGAAGAATTCTTAAAAAAAGACCACATGTTGTATCACTCTACCTTAGAGGTCTGCCCATGCTATGGATCAACTCACATGACCCTCACCCCTTCACAAAGGCTTATGCCTACACGTTGTATGATTTTGAATCAGGGCTGCAAACTTGTTTCATGCATTGCGATATTGTAAATAGTAAGCCAGATATGCATTACTGGCGCAGATAAATAAAATGATTGGATCAAAATTAAAGCTGTTTTGTAAGTTTGACCTCATTCACGTAAACCACATGAGCTTTCAAAGGACAGCTCCTTCACTCAAGTTGGTGGAACAATCTAGATCCCCAAACATACATACACGCAGATTAGCCACTTAGTGGTTGTTACCTTGGGGTTAATGGAATGAACGCGATAGAACAAAAGTGACAGCCAATACAAATAGGCTGTCACGGTTGGCTACGTAAGGTGCGAAAGAAGTAAAGCATATATATAAATGACTAAAAATGCAATGATGAACCAAGTAATTGATTATAATTAATTATGCTCAAAACATATGAATGGCTTTGTTACATTCCTGAAGATGACACCTTTAAGATTCACCAAAATGGAATACATTTTTTAATCATATTGTGACCCCGAATCATGACAATATATTCAATACATGAATTTTATTCTTTAAATTCTACCCTTACCCCGACGAAAAAGTGAACTTTCTTGGAGCAGGTGGTGCCTGTGGTTCCACACGGCTCATTCTCAGTGGTGATTCGGAATGAGCCACTGCTGTTTCCACAGGAATCCTGCAAGATAAACAACAAAGTGGTTGCAGAGCGTAAGGTTAAGCAACAAATATACAGTATCATGGATGACAAATGAAAGCCACGCAGATATACGCACGAAATACACACACAGGTGGTATATTAATAAGAGGCCGTGATGAGCCTCTATGTGAGTGTTTCTCAACTCCAGTCCTCACGACCCACCACGGAAAAGCTTCCCAACCATCAGATGCACGCAGGGTGCATTGGATTAATTTGCATATGACTAAAATAAATTGACAGCGCACCTGGCTCAGGATGTACTGGCAGGACCCGTCGAAGACATACTGCTTCCCGTCGAAGGTCGTGTGGTGGCCCTCTCCGTACACGAAACACAGGCCCTGGCAGACTTTGGACGTGCAGCTCCATTGTGCGTTCATGCACGTGCTGCACGAGACAACCCATGCGCAATCGTAGCATGGTGAGAGGTCACTACCACCTTTTGTGTTAGGCCAAGATGATTGCGGCCATAGATGAGGAGCAAGGAAAGCAGTCTAAAGCACTACTGTCTCTAACCATAATGGTCTCTAGCAATAACCTCTAAACCCTAAACCCAAATCCTAAAACCCTAACCAATAACAATATAACATACCCCTCACCCCTAAATCATGAATCCCAACCCCTGACCCTAAAAATGTGATCCCTAAATGCAAAGCTGAACCTCTAAACTCTCAGCCTAAACTTTAACCTTAATCCCTAAACCTTAGCCCGAACCCCTAATCTCTAACATTAACCCTAATCTTCACACAAAACACTATGTAAGAAAAAATAAGCAGCACCCCTTCATATTGTATCGACTGAAATCCAAAGCAGGGAAAATGACCACTGAAGGGTAAGCACAACTCAAGAAAAGTCTGTGATTGGACAAAAATCTGGTCTATGATAGATACAAATCTTCAGAGCCTGTTGCTAATTTTGCTGTGCCCTCATACTATAGATCTTTGTACCTCAACCGTCCATGCTGTCGGCTCCACACACCTGTACAAATGCAGGCTCCAAACCTATTTTTTTCCTCTGAGTAACTGCCGCTCTCAATAAAATAATATTTACGGTTTCGCTACTTCATAATTGAGATGTGACACTAATGACCGACGCCGACCACTGCTGTGTGACAGTGCGGTCCTGGCGTCGGTCGAGTGGGTGGTCAAGGTCGGCGTCGTTTGAACGTCGAGGTCGTGCAAGGTGACATCGACCTTGACCAATGTTTCCCCCGTTTCTACTGCCCACACAACTACCAGTCCAAGATATTGCTGCTGTGGGGGGTGGGGGGGGAGCACAAAGATGCACATTGGAGAAGGGCGACTGCGGACTGCTCACCAATTGTTGCACAGCTGGGTAATGGTGTCTCCGGGGTTGTAGTGCTGCCCGTTGTGCTCGCAGGTGCATTGCTCCTCACTCACGCAGTTGCCGTTGTGATCCACAAGCAACCCGCCGGGGCACACGCAGCCCGACACGCAGCCCGGGCTATACTGCACGCACGGGAGGGTGCCACACAGGTGTCGGTCGAGCCTTCTCCAGCGCAACGCACTGTTGTCATCGTGATCATTGTTATCATCATGATGATCATCCGTTTCAATGAAGACGCAACCCAAAAACAGCTATTATATTCACACTCGCTTTTCCCGACTAGTTTTGGTAGCGGGGTTTGACTCATACTTCCTTTATCATGAGACAATGCCCTTCTCTGGGACAATGCCCTTCTCTGTCCCACTGCTCTTGAAAGAACCAAGAGTATCATGATGGCCTAAACCATCGTAAGACAAAGTTCTGCTGCATTTAGCCTGAGGTCAGTAGTTCTGCTTCATAATTATTCATATATTGTCGCTATACACCCAGGCCATGTTCTGGGTAAACTAGCACCAGCTTAAAGCTTAATTTGTGCGGTACTATGTTTCACCACAGCATTGTTACGTGTTTCCTTCCAGATGTATTGTTACTACTGATGGCTATAAGAAGCCTTTATTTGACTGTCGGGTTGGTTGCACTTTCAACGGACACTTACGCATATTGAATGTGGATTAGCACAGGTTCTTTGACAGGCAGCACTGCCTTCACTCAATCCGTCACTGCAGTTGTGGTAAGTCATCTGGCCTTCACATGTGTTCCCTGCACGCACACGCACAAACACACAACACAGGTTCTTTAAATATCCAGATTTGCAGATAATAAGGTCGTGACCTATTGTGAAGTTAACTCAAAACATAGCTTTGTGTAGTCAATCCAATGATCCATATTTGTTTTTGGTGTACGGCCACAATCTTGTCATAAATCAACTGCTTGGCCAAACCCAAGAACAAATATTGATTGAAATATTGATTATTGTGAAATTAACTACCATTGGCAGGACAGATCCAAATGTGGCAAGTGCCCAAAATGTCAGCGTACTATACATTTTCTATATATTGTATATTTGTTATAATGCTGTGCTCATGAATGTCATCAAAAGTGCTGCTTTCTACCCCTCTTCAAGTCCAGGCTCAAGATCTTACTTTTACCTTTTGCCTACGGTTGACTGCCTCTCTCTAAAAATAAATGTTGTTTCTGCAGTGTCTTAAGAAGGACAATAATAGCAACAAGAGTAGCTCACCAGATATGGGGGGAAGTCCAAAGCAGTGAAGTTCCCCACCCGTGCACAGACTAGGGGGCAAACAATGAAGCAAAGATGCATTGCGTGAGTAGACATCCTTGGTCTTATCAAATATAACATTAATCATCATCATCAACATTATCACTATATAAATACACGAAAGCTTTTGTGCAAATAACCTGACATTTCTCCTGAATTCTTAATAAAAACCCAGCAATGACTAACTCCTTCTGCTGGGGGGTGTGAATAGGTGCTGGCGGACAAAAGAGACCAAATGGCGTGGATACAGGCGTCGTGTATAAAGTACGACCATGAAAGACATGTCTCAAGTTGTGTTAAAATAAACCATCTTATTTAGTAACGTGCCCATGACACTTGACTCGGCTAAAAAGTCAAATTATTGCTCTGCAGCTAATAAAGTGCGTGTGTGTGGAGTAGCGAACGTTTCAGCCGTGAGGCACTTAATACGCCAAATCAATTAACCCGACCCAGACCGCTGCTCTGGGATAAGAGTGGTCGAGGTCGCGCAAGACAACGTTGACATCAAAAACGACCGCGGCCAATGTCGCCCAGCACGAGTGTGGAATGCACACGCTGGCACAACGCTGGTTCATACCACTGCGTGTCGTGCAGATCAACGGTCACCCCTGCCCGGATCACGTCCCCGCTCATCTCCGAGTAGCAGGGGCAATCGCTCTTGAGCACACACACGCCGTGCTCGTCGTCGTACAGCCCCGCGCCGCACACGCAGCCCTCCACGGGGGAAGGGGATGGCAGCTCGAACGGCGGGGGGCGCACCCCCCGACACACTAAGCGGGACGCGCGGGACGCGCGGCACGACGCGGAGCCGCACTCGGGCGCCGCGTAGCTGAACTCGTGGCTGATTGGGCAGTTCTTGGAGTCGAGGCCTGTGGACGGTTCACGGTGATGACAGAGAGAGAGGTGAGGCGAGAGTGAGTAGCAAAGGAGGTTTGTGAATTGAAGGGTGCGTGAATTGACGGAGGTGTGTATATTGAGTTGGGTGACGGTATGAAAGATAGAGCCCTCCTAATAGTACTTATGGTGTCGATACATACATTGGTTACGTGTTCTGGGCTGTCCGACACAAGTTTTAATTTATGAGAAAAAAGGACTTTAAAGTTACAAAATCGGACATGGAAACATAGCATTCTAGTGACATCACTGTGATTCCATCACTAATATCACTGACAATCGTTCGAATATGACTCCACTAAAGTAATGTAACTCTAACTCACTTTGGTGGCACACTTGACGATTTCTGGCATGCAATTTCGATGCTATGATTAACTTAGTGATCGGAAAAATACATTCAAATGACAAATTACTCGAGGAAATATAATTTAGATATAAATTACCAATAACTGGTTCTTGTATAACTTACATATAAATTGACAAACGTTATGAGCTGTGTAATTTAGGTACCCAATGACAAACTAAAAATGTAATTACATTACATATTAAAATTAAATGTCATTTACATTTCGCCCATCTCTGAACTCACTGCCCTGGCGTCACCCGTGCGGCTGTGCTTACTGCAGATGTCGCTCCTCCAGCCGACGAGGACGACGCCATGAGCGGCGCACGCGTACGCGTATGCCGAGAGTGCAGCGCACAGGCACGGCTCCGGATACGAGCAGCTGCACGTATCATACTTGCAGCGCTGCACAGGTGGTAGGGGGTGGTGTGTAGGCAGACAGACAGATGGACAAACGGGCGTTGAAATAGAAAGATGGATGGATGGACAAATTGACAGATGGACGGATGGACAGACGGAATTATAAATGGACGAATGGGCAAAGAGAGAAGGAGGGACAGAAGGATAGATGATCGATTGGGCAGATCAAGACAAACAGATGAAGAAATGGACAGATACACAAATGGATACACAGACGGTGAGACAAACAAAAACAGATAAATGGACAATCAATTAGATAGATAGACAAATGGACAGACAAAAATATTGATATTTGATCTCATCATAAGTACCATTTTTATCTAATGAGAGGGTGTCAAGTATGTGGCCATCTCGAGCAGTAGCCCATCATTCTTCTCCAGACAATAAACCCACATTGTGGAAAGTAAGAAATCCGCTTTTGACTTGGCTGGAAAGACGGAGCCAATTGGGTGTATGTGGTACAGGAAGACATGGAAATGAGGGGACTTACCAGTGGCTGATACCAGTAGTGTTAATATCTACCTAATATCTAAAAAGCTAAGTAGGTTTGAGCCTGAATAGTACTTGAATAGGTGACTGGCATGCACAAACAGGTTTTTACATTGGATCTGGGGCTACGTGGTTAACAGCAGAAGGCTTTGCAGGAAAACCCATTGTTGTACTGTACTTCTATGCTTTCCCGTCCATATTCTCTGCTTTCACCAACCCACACTGACCCACGTGGTGACATATGTCTAAATAACCCCCATGAACCACACGGCATGGTGAGGCCCTTATCTGGCACAATTGGCTACGTAATGTGCGAAATAAGTTAATCATACGTACGTACATCAGAGGTCGCAAACGGGTTTTGATCCCTTAGTCGTACCCGTACCCGGCCGCACCAGGGTCGCAAACGGGTACCCGTACCCTACCCGATACCCTGCTACCCGTAACCGGCCGGGTATCGGGTAGGCTACGGGTACGGGTACCCGATTGCGACCTCTGGGATGAAGCCATGTTGCAGGCGCGGGTGGGTTGATTCTAGGAACTTGAATTGTGAGAAGAGACAAGACGTTGGGAAATGAGTGACAAACGGTGACTCACCAGTGACTCACGGCCTACCCGTACCCGGCCGCACCAGGGTACCCGTACCCGGCCGGGTACGGGTAGCCGGGTATCAGATAGGGTACGGGTATCGGGTACCCGATTGCGACCTCTGACGTACATACATGCATGATAAACCCCATAGGAAACAGTGCGCTCTGTTTGCTGGAGTTTGGTTGGGGCAAGTGGAAAATGCTGCTCCTACTTTGTGGATCAGAGGTCACTTGAAGGGATCTCAGAGGTACTTCTGTGATGTCTAATTCCACGAACCGTTTTCGAACACTGAACGAGTCACAGCTCTGTGAGAATTCCAAATGGATTATTCATCTTAAGACATGACACTGCTCATACAATCAGGATATCATTAAGTAAAAAGACGAAAATACAGGCAGTCCCCGGGTTACGGAAAATCCGACTTACGGAAATTCAACTTTACGGAAATGCTCCTAAAAAGCGTGTAAAAAATAGAGTATGTACTGTGTATCTGTATGTGTTTGTGTGTGTATGTATGTGTGCGTGTGTAGAGAGCATACTCCTCCGTTGTGTGCGTGTATGTGTGTGTGTATGTGAAGTCTAGACCTAGCCGAATGCATGGTAAACATTCGGAAGTGACTGCTTTTTGTTAACAATATTAAAATCAACAATTGGATACAGTATATGTTCCATTAGTTTAATAATGGGTAGTGGTAGGGTAGATATTCGATGCAATTAAAGAATCATAGGAAGTGCAGAGTGTATGTACAGCGATAGGATACAGGGAGCGATAGAAAACGGACGACAGCGAGATACGGTACTGAGAGAAAATGGTAGGGGAGACACAATTATTTCAAGCTATGGGATTTTATCTTGATTTTTGGGGAAAATTGTTCAGTTTCCGACATGAAAAATTCGGGTTACGGATATTTCTCAGGAACCTAACCCTTCCGTAACCTGGGGACTGCCTGTAAATATATTGTTAATCATCACGCAAAGGGGAACGTACCATGTAATATTCATCTGCAGAAACCACACTGTGGCAGGTAGAGAATGGACCGTCATTATCCATCAGAAGGCCACAATATGTTTTGGCGTATTCATCTGAAAGATAAGAAACACACAAGCTCAGACAGTGTAGCCTTTGAGCTGTCGGGCCACTGCCCGAAACGTTAGCTGGGCATGGTGGTCCACATGTGCAATCCATAGCTATGGAGGGCAAGGGCTGGTAAAATCACATATTGAAGTTCAAACACTTGCTCAGTTGCAAGGTGGCCAGGAGATGGCAGTATAGCAAAAGCAAGGCTATGCGCTGCCCTCTAGAAATTGCTAAGTGTGTGAGGGAACCAGGTGGTTTAGGGAGAAGGCCATAACCGTCAGAGTACTGAGTCAGCACCACTGAGTTCCTGAGTTCAAATCAGGGTTTCAGTCAGCCGTCCATATGCCAGGTTCTTAAATGCAGCAGATTAATGAACTCAACCCAGTCGCCAATGACTATATTGAAAAACCATAAAAAAAATATTTTTCCAATCATTTTTATCTTCTTGGTTCTTTTGGTAAAGTCACGTAGAAGGGAAGTAATAAAATAATAAAAATAAAACATAATAAAATAATTCTCACGACGTTTCGGCTACAACAAGACGGCTGCTTGCGTTGTAGCCGAAACGTCGTGAGAATTATTTTATTATGTTTTATTTTTATTATTTTATTACTTCCCTTCTACGTGACTTTACCGAAAGAACCAAGAAGATGAATCCCTGCAGTCACGAAAGCTTTAAATGGAAATCATTTTTATGTTTACAGTTACGGGAACACTTCTATATTTGTTTAATTTGCATACATATGTGAATAAAAGGAATTGAAGTAATGTTCAAAATAATTCTGCATCCCATTCAATAAGCTGTGAGGCTCTGCAGTGGGCAGCAGAGGGCAGTACAGCAAAATACATTGTCATAATATACTCCCACATCTATATCCCTCCAACTTCCACTAACCAGTGTGGTCAAAATATTCAAATACCTCCCACAATGATACGTACGGCGTGAGGAGGCCCTCAACCAGCAGTGAAGTGAATATGACAGCGTGGCATTGATCGGTCACACATGAGCTGTGAGCTGTGTCGCCATGAAGCGTCTCACTGTTGGTGGTGTACACCGAGCACGGGTCCATGGTGACCTCTTTTCGGTCCGGGCACGTCGCCTGAGCCTTCCACATGTTACAGAAGGTCGCTGCTGTCGCGTCCACGATGCCGGAATGCGTGAAGTCGTCACCGGTTACTTCATTGAAATTTCCGCACAGCCCTGTTAAATTGTCACAAGATGTCATTTAAGAGGTGGTTTGGGTGGTTTCATAATGATCAGGTGTCGGAGCATAGGAGCAAGAAGCCAACACTGCTATGTCTTAAGTTCAAATGCGGGTATCAGCTGTGATGAAACCGTTTTCATGAACACATGGCCATACTCATCTCTGTTGTTGGCCCTGAGCCTGTGGTTGGAAATTCTACATTTCTATGACATGGGCCATTCCATCCATGACAACAGTTGCATTCCCGTGCAGTGCTGCTGTTGGTTTCATCATCCCCATATGGATAATGTTGAGCTGATTGAACCCTGACCGGGGATGTGAACTCACATTTGTCCAACGGTTAAGGTGGGTTCACACTGGATCACTCAACTCAATGTAACGGGATGAAACAGCTACTTAGGCCTCACTTTTAGTGATGTCACAGAATTGTAATGTTAGTGCACAGCTTAATTCGCTAGGTTGAACGTGTTGGAACAATAAGTGGACCGGCAAGCAATCAGAGTTGGGGTGGCACAAAGGAGGGCAGCCAAGGGCAGCACGTGGCAAGCATGTGATTGAATGAGAAATCATCACAAACAATGTTGTCATCATTATTTATAGAGTGGCGCTAAAAAGCATTTTGACATTAAAACTCGACACACGTATAACATCAAAAAAATCCCCGAAATACTGATACTGATAACATGTTTTTTTTTTTACTGAAGAAAACATCAAAGCAGCATACGGAAGAACAGAGCTTGAGACATACATACCACACGTTTTGTTGTGATACGCGGTGGCCGCGGTAATGTACAGCTGCATCAGGGGCTTTAGCTGAACTCGCAGGCGCAAGCCAAAGTTGGTTTCCGCACGGAGGTAGAAGGACGACTCTTGCACGACGGTCACGGATGCTGAAAGAAATAGACATGAGACCAACAGTGCATGCCAAGCTGTCATGAAATGCACGCAAACATTCACATCATAAGCTGGACCATCTGCAAAACAAGCAGTGATGATCAGAAGTCTGAATCAGTGTTTAGTTATGAAGCTTAGGCATTTAACACATATTTAAAGACAAATTCATGCTGCCTGAGTAAATGATCTAAACAATGATTGTAGATTAACTATCATGGAATAGTTTATTTGTGTAATTGCAGACAGACTTAATATGTCATCATTTCTATACATTCACAAAGCAGCGACTTATACTTGTCAAAACACTTTTATGTAATTGTTTTTAATATCTGTAATGTGTTGAGTTCTGTGGATTGAAAATGGTTGATTTAAGAGGGCAGGTGTAAAATGGATTGCAAAAACTGTCAATCACAAGGCTTACCCGACACAAATGGAAGAGGCACCTTATTCTCATGCACGAGCACATCCCCTGATGCCTTGAACACAACCTGAAACAATAATCACTTGTAGTTATTGAAAAGCAATATGGTTATATAAGGGTTGTCACTAACAATATAGTAATCAATCAACAGTATTTTATTACGTATTCGTTGCTTTAAAAACTGATTCAAAATATACAATGTTCAACCCAGTGATTTATTTATTACACTTTTTGGGTCTTTATTTTATTTTGAGTTACATTGTGTCAGAAAAAAGCCATGGAAGATTACATCACATAACTACGTTTGAACACGCTTTAAAAGCCTCTTCATCCAGACTATGAGCATAATTTTTACATGCTCTGGAAAGTATTTGTTCAAATTGAAAACACAAGTTTCACATGATATTTAAGGGTGTGCAGTCATTGGTCATCAGTGAGACCATAAATTTGCTCATTATCTCAAGATATATATGCCTTAAACTGTCTCTCTCTGCTCATGCCCTCCCTTTGGATTAAGGCGGCTTGAACTCTTATTAGAATGCATGCAAACGCACACACACTCAATCACGCGCATCTGGGTGTACATGCACACACACACTCACCATTTTTATGTCATCGATGTAGAGGATAACACTATTGAGACACGTCTTAGAATCTCGCCCCTCGCACTTGGTTAACTCTCCCAGTACGGAGAACGTCTTGCCAGCGCAGTCCTAAAAATATTGAGGCCACAGAGCAGAAGGTTAGAGGTCACTGAATTGGAAAAGCTGTACATATATGACTCATGGGAATGTAATGAACATGTCTATGCATATGTGCCAATGTGGACCATGAAGGCCTACCCAAGCTGTCGCCATTCCTAATATTGCTCCATTGCAATAATCCAACTAACTCCTACGCACGAGCAGATTTTATTGATCCATCTCTCCGCAGTTGATATCCTGTTAGGAGTGCTCTCTCCTTTGTAAAAAAGTCACATTCCTGACAATGTCCGTTCTTCATAGCACCTCTCCTTTTGTTTTTATGCCAGTGTTGAGTTTTATTTTGTTAATTGTGCTTTTGCACCACTTCCAATGCATCATCACCAAATAATGTATGCTCTTTGTTCGTCTCGACCACACTGGCCATCGTTCCTTTCTAGTGACGTATCCTGCCCACTTACCTTTCTTCAGTCAAAATTATGTCTCTAACTTGCGTACGTTCTCTAACCCGTGTGGTTAATATTTCTATCTCTAAATGTAATTCCAAGAATGCACCCTCTCCATGCATCTTTGTGTAGTTTTTAGCTTTAGTTCTATTTTCTTCATCAATTATCATGTTTCTGAGCCGTGTCACAGCAGGTAATATACAATGACCTCAATGGACTATGCGATATTGGATTTGCAGATCGAGTTGTGACACTGGATCATAATTATTCATTAGATCGTGGAGAAGAGGGTGAAATTCGTTACATCCCAAGCTCACGCTGCCACATGCACCAATGCATTACAAATGCAGTTTTAGTACCGTTGTGAGGGTGTAAAAGCAGTCCCCGTGGAATCTGTACGTCTTGCTGTCGAAGGTCGAGAAATAGGAGCCGCCCAGGATCTTGCACGTCCCATAGCAGGGGCGGCTGTCGCAATTCCACTGACCCTGCTCGCAAGTGCTGAGTCGGCAAAGACGGTGGCACAATGATTAGAATGAAAAACCCACAAGTGGCAGGTGGTGAGGGATAATGGGGGCTTTGCCCCTCAAACCTATTTAGCAGCTTGCATTTAAACACAGCCTGTACAATAAAACCTCTAGAAGCCACTCCATGAAAGAGCACAAGATCACCACAAGCAAGGCATGTGGTAAACCACAGTGCGGTGCCCTATGTGCTGTTCCAACACTCTACACTTTTGCAAGTGATATCTTTATCTGGTAAAATAGCACCAGCAGCCACCTTTGTGCCACATGGTTAGAGAAAGTGTCATTTTATTATCCAGTGGTTCCAAAGCTATTTTAAGAAATGTATCATCTGATCGATCACAAATACATTTTTAATATAAGCCCCCAAAATTACTTATGTTGAATGGCATTAAAAAGTTCATACGTAAAAAATGCACACGGAAACACTAAACTAATTCTTTGGTGAGATTGCGTTGCCAGTCATGCGTGGTGGTCGTAAGTGGTGGGAATCAGGTTTCAAGTAGGAATCTGTGTGGGTGGGTGGCCTTCCTGTAGACAGAATGTCCCAAGGATCCATCAGGTCTCCTCTCAAACAGCACATCCAAGAATGGTAGTTTGCCATCTTTCTCCACTTCCATGGTGAATCTGATGGATGGGTGTCTGGTATTGATGTGGTTCCAGGAAATGGTTCAATGCTGGGAGGCCATGTGGCCAAATGACGAAAGTGTCATCCACATATCTCTTCCACAGGGAAGGACGCAGGGTGGACGTCTGGATGGCGTCTAATTTCCAGAGACTAGTTTTGGCTTGCATCCTACGCAGATTGAATAGCCCACCGTCAAAACGGTAGATGAAGCTAATCCCAGTGTTGCGGTTCTGGAATGAGTCTTGTAACATGGCAGAAAACACCATGCTGAAGAGCGTTGGCGCTAAAACGCAGCCTTGCTTCACCCCGTTTGTGATTGGGAGCGGATCAGAGAGTTCTTGTTGGTCTCTGACGCTAGCCATCATGCCATCCTGGAGTTTGCGCACGATGCCAATGAACTTGTCTGGACACCCATACTTGACCATGATCTTCCATAGGCCCTCCCAGCTGACTGTGTCAAATGCTTTTGTCAGATCAACGAAAGCCATATATAGATCAGCATTTGTTCTTGGCATTTCTCCTGTAACTGCCGGGCAGTAAATACCATGTCAGTGGTTCCGTGGTCTTTTCTGAAACCACACTGACTCTCAGGTAGCAGACCCTGGTCTAGATGGACAATTAGGCGGTTCAGAAGGATTCTTGCCAAGATTTTGCCAGCGATTGATAGTATGGAGATGCCTCTATGGTTGTCGCAGGCCTGCCGATTGCCTTGCCTCTTATAGAGATGGATTATAGAGGCATCCTTGAACTCCTGGGGAACGGCTTCTAATTTCCACAGAGACTGGAAAAGGTCGGTCAGTTTCTCGGCTAAGCGAGGCCTTCCAGCCTTGTAGATTTCCGCTGAAATGGCATCGGACCCTGGAGCTTTGCCTGATGAGAGGAGGCTTATGGCTTTTGCTGGTTTCCTCAATGGATGGTAGAACACCAAGGGACTGGTTTATTTAAACTTGAGGCAGTCTCGCAATTGCCTCCTCATTTATGCATGATGGCCGGTTGAGGACTGTGCTGAAGTGTTCAGCCCACCTTGCATGTATTTTGACCTTCTCTGTGAGGAGTGTTGTTCCATCTGCATTTAGGAGAGGTGAAGTTCCAGAGTGTTGTGGACCATAGACCTGCTTGAGTGCACCATAGAGGCACTTGGTGTTGTTACTGTCAGCGTAGGACTGAATCTCCTCAGCTTTTGTGCACAGCCAGGTGTCTTGCATGACTCTGAGTCTCTGCTGGACAACCCTGCGAATGTTGAGGAAGGCAGTTTTCTTTAAGCTTGAGCTGCTGTAATTCAGATAGGCTTAATGCAGGCGATGTTTTTCATCAAGGAGTGCTTGGATTTCTGCATCGTTCTCATCAAACCAATCTTAATGTGTACGTATGGGAACACCAAGTGATTTACACTATGAGATCTTCTTGGTTCTTTCGGTAAAGTCACGTAGAAGGGAAGTAATAAAATAATAAAAATAAAACATAATAAAACAATTCTCACGACGTTTCGGCCACAACGCAAGCAGCCGTCCTCAGGTGAAAAAACCAGGTCCGTCGAGGCGACAGAGGCGACTCTGTCACCTCGACGGACCTGGTTTTTTCACCTGAGGACGGCTGCTTGCGTTGTGGCCGAAACGTCGTGAGAATTGTTTTATTATGTTTTATTTTTATTATTTTATTACTTCCCTTCTACGTGACTTTACCGAAAGAACCAAGAAGATGAATCCCTGCAGTCACGAAAGCTTTAAATCGAAACTATGAGATCTCTTTTACCAGTGGCAAAATATAGTAGTAGGTTTTTACCCTTTTAAACTGGTACAAAACTGACACCTTTATTCAAGGAATCATGTTTGCAATAACCACAACACAAGTAGTCAAAAAAGCAAACAAAAAGAAGCAACTCTGATAATGATAATAATATGCACTGTCCTTGAAGTTGATTGGTCCACACCCGAGACGGCTTTCTTTAGAGCCTAGTCCCCATTGGTGTTGGACCAGATGACACCAGAAGGCGTACAACTCAAACACAGTGCAATATCAGAGTATTGAGAGCTCGGGGTAAGCATTTACACTATGAGATCTCTTTTACCAGTGGCAAAATATTGTAGTAGGTTTTTACCCTTTTAAACAGGTACAAAACTGACACCTTTATTCAAGGAATCATGAATAAAGGTGTCAGTTTTGTACCAGTTTAAAAGGGTAAAAACCTACTACTATATTTTGCCACTGGTAAAAGAGATCTCATAGTGTAAATGCTTACCCCGAGCTCTCAATACTCTGATATTGCACTGTGTTTGAGTTGTACGCCTTCTGGTGTCATCTGGTCCAACACCAATGGGGACTAGGCTCTAAAGAAAGCCGTCTCGGGTGTGGACCAATCAACTTCAAGGACAGTGCATTTAATTATCATTATCAGAGTTGCTTCTTTTTGTTTGCTTTTTTGACTACTTGTGTTGTGGTTATTGCAAACATGATTCCTTGAATAAAGGTGTCAGTTTTGTACCAGTTTAAAAGGGTAAAAACCTACTACTACAACACCAAGTGATTCAAGGGCTGTAGAATGCAACACGGTCTTGAGAGCAGTCCAGTTTGCCTCAGCATCTGTATGCTCGAAGCTTAGAGACTCCAGGTGATGGTATAGAGCCTCAACAAAGGCCAGTCTGGTGTGTTCCTGTTGTAGGCGAGTGATGTTAAGACGCTTTAGACGTCTTTTTCCTTGTGGGCGTCTGGGAGGCTTAATCCGGATGTTAAGTTTGGAGATGATGAGACGATGGTCAGTCCAACATTCAGCACCACACATTGTCTTGGTCACCCTGACATTGTGCCGGTCGCTCCTCCTCATGATGACGTAGTCAATCAAGTGCCAGTGGTGTGGACGAGGATGCATCCATGAAGTTTTCTTGCGCTTTGGTAGTTGGAATATCGTGTTGGTGATGAGCAGGTCAAATTCAAAGCATGTTTTCAGCAGCAGAAGGCCGTTGCTGTTACATTTTACAATGCCATGTGCACCCATGACTCCATTCTATGATTGATGGTCACTTCCAACTCTGGCATTGAAGTCACCAAGTATCAGGAGTTTGTCAGAGCTGGCTGTGGCACCAATAATGACTTCCAGGTCATTATAAAACTTGGTTTTGATCTCGTCAGAGTTGGTCATGGTAGGGGCATAGGCACTGATGATGGTGGCCTCCTTTTTACCCATTAGGTGGAGCTTTAGGGTCATTAAACGGTCGTTTATGCCCTTGGGTAGGCTTGCCAGTTGGTTGACCAGGTGGTTTTTAACTGCAAAACCAACACCAGCATCACGTCTCTCCTCCTGGCCTCGTCCGCTCCAGAAGAATGTGTAACCTGTACCCACTTTAGTCACCTGTCCAGTATTGGCCAGTCGGATCTCACTAAGGGCAGCAACATCCACATTATATCTGGCTAGCTGTCTGCCCACGAGGGCGGTGCGTTTCTCAGGTCTTTTTGATCCGGATGGTGTGCGCCTACGGTAGCAGCTAGAGGGCCGGCCCAGATGGAACAAGCCTGAGGCACAATTAGCTGGTCAGACTAGATATAAACTTGAATAGTCATCATACAAAATTCTGTAGATACATTGGTACATGGATACATGCATACGTATCTACGGCCAACCCGACTCCAAAAGGATGCATAATACATGGGTACAAATGATATATAGTAAACAATCTTGATTTGCAGCTTTCCTGACTGCAGTGTTCTTCCTGGTTCAGCAGTTCCACTGCTGAATTATTTTTTCCGCCTGAGGACGACCGCTTGTGTTGCGATCGTAACGTCTTGATATATAATTTTTTCTTTTATTTTTCTACCTACGTGACTTTACGGAAAGAACCAAAGAGTATATAGTACACACTTAGACTTATTTATGCGGTGATAGAGTACACACAAGTATTATGAATATTTGGTATGTGACTTACAAACTACTATTTGCGTACCACATTTTGTGAACCGATGTACTAATAGGTAGGGTTGCTGCAATATGGGAATATGATGATAAATCGTCAAATCATTAACAATGACATAAAATCATATCATGAAAAATTACATTTCAGCATCCCTGATACTAAGCTATTGCGTCTCACCAGTTTTTGCAGCCTGTGATGAGCGATTCTCCACTGGCATAGGAGTGGCCGAGTTGGTTGCACCCACAATTGCTTTGAGGGATGCAGCCCGACCCACTCACATCGTCCCACACCATCCCTGCAGTTCCCAAACACCACAAGAGAGATGGTAAGGAGAGAAATCTAGTTTATCCATATGTAAAGGTTGGAGAGCGAGAGATAGGAGATCAATATATGAAAGTTAATTTTACTTGGACCAAGGTAGTCTTATTTGCAAGAGTGACCTTGGGCACTAGTCGACCAGTAAGTACGATGATTGCTATGCAGGGATTTTTCGAATTTGGCAAATTTGGATCCTCAGAAGGGATATGAAGTGGCACTGGCCGTTATGACTTCTTTCACATGAACATGAATGCTCTCTTCAGTCATCTCAAGGAGCTGCTTCTGAATAGAGGGGGACACAATATGCGATGCATTGCTGTACTTTCGGGGGCATGTTCCCCGCAGGCCCCCCACCATAGAACCCTCAATGCTCGGTAAAGAATAGAAAATTACATCTATTGATTCACTGTTTATACCTTCAGGGCAGAAGCAGCCATCCACACAGGTGCTTGGGCAGTTGATGGAGGCGGAGGGGTTTGAGCAGGTGTCTTTGCACACCGGTCCACACTCCCTGTGCACCTGACCTCTCGGGCACGTCACACCTGAGTGAGTAGGAGTCAGTTACACGCACAAAAGGTAAAGATTCTCCGCGTGGCCTTATAGACCGTAATGGCAAGAGCTGTTAGCGAGCAACTTTCTCTCCCATCTCACCAACACACCACACCACTGGTCTCTCCCGACCAGATCTCACCGCACACGCACCACCGCTCTCTCCGGATCTTACTCTGTACTGCACCACTGCTCTCTGCCATCTTACCAGTACACCACAACACCATTTAACCCCACACCACAGCACCATTCTCCCCATCTCACCGCAGAATTCTGGAGAACGCCACGTGCCCGGCGATCCATTAGCCTGCGTGCACCGTCGAGAGAACTCGGCGATCGTCGCACAGCCATCACAAGGGTAGAGCCCAGCAGTGCCGTTGCAGTCCAAACGGCAAATGTCCGACAGTGAAATATTAATCAGCAAGCTCTTCAGTTGATGGTCCACGATGCTGACGCAGGAAAGAAGCTCGCCTTGCAATAGGTGCTGAATGTGTTGTGTCTGGAGCAGGAGAAAGAGAGGCGTCTTATTTGCTTAAATGTTTACATTAGCAATCTTATTTCTATTATTTTAACAAATTCCAACTGAGGCTTAAAGGGTTCGTGATTTAGCTCTGTCCATCTCTCAAACTGTACCGGCGTAAAATTCACAATAACATGGCAACTAAAACCAGTGCTAAATGGATAAGCCTTTTTGGCGAAGTTGATATCACACACTATGCACGCGCATCGCTTCCACACGATTCATTACGTGACATCATCCTCTGACATTACACATCATGTCATCTCGTTGTGTGGATTTAAATCATACTATTATCATTGATTAAAACATTCCAAGGACAAACGCAAATTGGAAAGGGTTAGAGAATCCATGAATACACATTCGTTTTCTTACTTGTTTATGGGTGGAGCGAAAGAATAGTGTATCATCTATTCCGCTATAAACTAAGCTGAATTTCATTCCCAGCCATGGCCAACATAACTGCCAAATGTTATTTGAAACGGTCCTCGGGCCTCCACCACGTTACCAGCATGTACTGATCAGCGTGGTAAAGCAATGTTAAACATGCTCCATGATAGACATGGCCTTCATCCAGCAGTAGATTGACAGAGGGCTGAAATTTTATTATTTAATATCCAAATTATTAGATGATGTGCTGTGGCAGAGCTCCCTCTCGGAATGTTACAAATTAAAGTCTGAGACCATTAAACGCACTTCGCACAAAACTCTAGTTTAATCTTGGACGGGTAGCTGTGATTTGAAGGCAGGATCTCATTACTTATTGTCGCTGCGAGTCAATTGCTAGAGCCTGGGTAAACAGAGTTCAGCATATACCTTGTTCAGACAGTATTCTCTTGACAAATCTGAGTTAGTTTGCTGTGGCTCTTGGGAACACATTTCCAAGTTGTTTAGCTTATTCATCAGCGTGTAATCACTTTCTGAACGCAGATGACCTGCAGCACATCACAAACGGTAAAAGATAAAAGTTAGCACCTGACACTGGAGGCCAGGGGTAGAATTCCCCATCAGAAACACTTGTGATCACAGATTTCCTCCTCACTCCGATAAAAAACTTAACAAAGAAGAGCACGAAATAAAACAGTTTATTCTGCCTTAAACTGATAAATTAGAAACATGAACATTGACAAAGAAAATAAAAAAATGAAGAATGTGCAAAGAAGATGAATGCATTGTATCCTTGGAATTACACTGAAAAACAGGAAAAGGTCATTGATTTAGAGAAGTTAAAAGGTAATGCCTGTTAACAAAGGTAACTGGCTTGGACAGGACATCTCGTTAGAAATGATATCCAGTGGTAAAGAATAACAGATGTGTAGCAGCCAAGGGAGGGAAGGTGTCTAAGAGTAGGCTAGTCGCATGCCAATAAAACTAAGATGTTTAATTGTTAAAGTTGGAATGAGTCAACATAGATTGAAAAAAACAAATTCAGCCATCACAGTTCATTGTTCAATGTATACTGGACTCACACTATCAACTCACTGCAGAACCTCGTTTAATCATGGCTGGATGAAACCTAATTTTGAACCCAGGACACTGGTGCCAGCTGCTCGGAACTCTGAGCTCACTTAGCAACACGGCCACATCATTACGGTTCAAATGTAATTATCTTGTGCAAGTCTTTACCAGTGTGAATGAGTCCCAAATACAGGTCAAAGGAAGAAAATAAAACTGGGTTGGTGACATTACTTAAAGGTAAGGTGTTCACCACTTTATGCAGAGGTACACGGTTATAATCCAGCAGCTGCCCTGATTAAGACTGCGGGTGTATTAATCATAGACATACTATGCGACATCGGATTTACAATGGACGTTAAGCATCCCGTGTCGTCATTCACAAGAATAGGCCGTTGTGTAACGGCATCATGGTTCAAATTTGCTAAGTTCAAAAATTACCCAAAAACTCCTCGATTGAATTTACTGGCAGTGGGGTTCCCCTTTCAAATTATTGACATGTGATGTGATGTACAGCATTATGACATGTCCAGAATATAGGACACTATATATAAAAACTATTCATTTTCATTCACTTGACACCGGCTCTCACCATTCAAATATAAATCATCTGCAATGCCGTTAAAATCTCCACACAGCCCGGTAGTTTTGGTGTGGAATTTGGGGTCAAGTTTAACCTACAGAGAAAGAAAAACACAGTTTAATAATCGTACATTATTCATGCAAGGTACATTTTAATTACCAAGAAAATCACAATCCTAGCACTGGGTCACACCCTTTTGAAACTCTTCCAATCAACAGAGGCATCATGCCATCAAGTCAAAGATGGATACCTTGGATACTCGCCCCACACGATTCAGTCTCAACACTGCTCACCGTGATGGCATTGTTCTGGTCCCACAGCAGAGAGAAGCCCATGATGGAGGAGCACTTGATGTAGGATCCCACCATCTCAATCTGGATGCTGTGGTTTTTGTACGGCAGCTGCACCCTGGAAGAAACAAGTGACACAGCCATGTGTCTTAGATTGGCGGTCAGTGTTACAATGCAATATATACATGACGATATAATTTGGATTTATATAGCGTCGATATGTGACTGGATCTAAAAACGTTGGACAGAAACAGTGGACATATTTATTGAGTCGATGGTCTCTGAGAATCTGCAGGTCTCTTTGTGAGTCTGTGGGTCACTATAAAATATTATTTGGATTTATATAGCATCTAAATGTGACTGTATTGCAACACCAATAAAACAGTGAATGAAAGCAGGAGGGTTTGGGAAATATACTGTGATCCATCACCCTCTTCCTCTAAATCACTGGAATAGCTGTGCACTTTTGACTGCCGCAGGCAGAATCACCCTGTGGGGAAGAACTCAAAACAATGAAGAACAAAATAACTTACCTCTGGCCGCTAATGCTTTGGCCCTCTCTTGTCAGGTTCAAGGATATGCCCTCCATGGTCACCACCACATTCTCCACACTCATTCTGTCCAAAGCGCTTCTCTGGAAGCTCACGGACAATGACGGGGAACCGGTGATGGACACCAGGCTCAGAGAACATGAGGACAGCGGCAGGTCCATGGAAGCATGGTCGAATGTGAGAAGGTGGCCGGTTCCCCACACGCTGCATATAGTGTCATCTGTGGGCGAAACGGCAAAACCCAGAACTGTCGGCAACGGGGTATCACAGACATTAAGTCGGCACAGCTAAGTGCCTGAATTTGAATATGAATATCAGTCGCCCCGTATTAAATTGTAATCTCAAGTACCATAATTAAATCGGGATTATGACCTCATTCTACTTATTTCCAATCTTGAATTGAAGGAATTTGGTGCAATAAGCAACAATACTCTCTGCGGAAAAAAATATATAAAAATGTGTCACTTGTGTGAATAAATAAGCAAATTAAAGGGATATCAGTAGTTGTGTGACGTAATCGTCTGGGGCCGCTCTCTTGACACCAGATGATGTACCGCTTCCTGTTGTAAATTGAACTCTTCTTCACTTCAAGACATGATTGTCTTTTATATTTCTTGAATGTTAAGATCCCAACAAACATTAGGCCTGCGAAGGCAATGAACATCCCAAAATTGAACCTTAGACCAGGGCTTAGCCCCTTCACACCTATTTACCAGGTTGAGCATTCAAATATGGCCTGGGCAGTAATGCATCTCGAAGCTGGACTCAGTGAGAGAGGGAAAAAGGGTCAGCACTAGCAGCGCACCTGGTATACTGATGTGATCGGTGAACCCGTGCCCTTGGACGCATCAGTCCACCATATGCTAAGCATGTGGTAACATTACACACTTTCATTAAGGAAAAATGTTATAAATACATGTTTACAATGTATTTATGCTCATCTCCTGTTTACAGCACAGATCCGGTTGTGGAAATTACACATTCCTATGGCAAGGGAAAGTCCATCCATAGGATAACCACTGATGACTTCCCCACAAAATTCTACTTCATTTTATCGATTTCAGTTGGGATGATGGGCTGAGTCAACCCACAACCTAGATCTGAATTCGCAACCTTCGCACAATTCACCTTCTTGGTTCTTTCGGTAAAGTCACGTAGAAGGGAAATAAAAAAATAATAAAAAAATAAAACATAATAAAATAATTATCACGACGTTTCGGCCACAACGCAAGCAGCCGTACTCAGGTGAAGAACAGGTCTGTCGGGAAGACGCTGAGGACGGCTGCTTGCGTTGTGGCCGAAACGTCGTGAGAATTATTTTATTGTTTTATTTTTTATTATTTCCCTTCTACGTGACTTTACCGAAAGAACCAAGAAGATGAATCCCTGCAGTCACGAAAGCTTTAAATCGAAACTTCGCACAATTATTTGCATTGCAAGATTTCATGAAAGCTCTTAAAACTATTTTTAGATCCTTGTAAAGCAATGACTTGTAAGCTAGTCAAGATTTCCGAATAAGATAGTGGTATCAGCATTTCCATCGGAGCAGTTTCAAGTTAAATTTGCATTCAACATAAAGATTGTGCCCATGAACAGTGGGTAAAACCCAGCAAGGAATCTTACACTGAGGGCAACCTTCGATTAGCACAGTTGGCTACATACGGTTCGAAAGAAGTTCAACATACATACAACCATCACGTATATAGCTGTACATATATTTAGCCATGTATTGCTATATACGTTTATTAAATTTTCAGACAATTTTAAAGAGTATCCAGGGGAATTTTTTTTTTTCAAAATGTAATTTTATAGTTTTATAACGAGATTCTGCTTTAGTTTCATTCATACATTGTCTGCTGAGGAATTCTACCACATTTGAAAATATATTTAACTTCATTTCACCACTTGCTGTCTTCCAGTGGAATTGCACCATCTTGCAGTGGATGCATTCACAACATGAAAAACAGGTCAACTCCATACTATGAATTGTGTCGGATAGGTTTGACCGGTATTTCAGACGTGACTGGTACCTGGATCATGGTGAATGTTTTTTATGTGCACGAGTCAGATAGGTAAGTGGGGCACGAAAAGTTTCAAAGGATGTGTCTCAGATTACTGTAGTGCAGAGGTCTGAACTCCCTTGCCTGGTATGCAGAAGGTCGTTGGTTCAAGCCCAACCCCTGTGTATATTTGGAGTTCACATAAGCTCCCCGTGGTTGTGTATTTTTCTCCAGGTCCTCTGGTTTTGCCCTCCACATTTAAAAATATGCGTTTAGATTATTTTGTTTCGATAAATTCCCACGTGATAAGACGCCACTTTCAATGAGCTATCTATCATGTGTGCTCGGTTCACCTATGAAAACTAGCGCAAAGTCGTAGCCATGGAGTGAACATTGGGGGGGACCAAATTTTCCAGGGGGTCTGGGGGTCCCCCCCCCCAGAAAAAAAAAAATCTAAATTTGAAAACGAATTTCCTGCTTAAAATATAAAAAAATTTTAACTAACACATAGGATGGACTTATTAATTTTTTTACAATGTCTAATAGTGCGGACAAGATGCTTGAGGCAAGGCTTCGGTGGTACGGCCATGTGATGCGAAGTGAAGAGTCATCAGTGGCCAAGACTGCTGTGCGTATTGAGCCAGAGGGCCGCCGTCCACGCGGACGTCCGAAGAAGCGATGGATGGACCGAATAAAGGAAGACATGAAGACGGTCAACGCATCCCGTGAAGATGCCCTGGACCGAGCCAAATGGAGAAGACAATGCCGAAAAGCGGACCCTGCGCCACAGCGGGAACAACGCTAGGAAGAAGTCTAATAGTGCATTGTATTAAATTGCTGTTTTTTCTTTTTAACATTTTCTTGTTTCATTGTATGTAATGGCAGAGATTAGGGATTTATAAAGTACAACCATAACCGTAATCATATAAACAAAAATCGATTTTATAGCAATATATTGGCGGGGACATTTTGAACATATTTTATTATAATTACGGCCTTGAACTAGCTTATAGCTCAGTGGGCTTTACCTAGTAAAATAAAAGTTTAGTTTAGGAGAACAAGATATTTCTTCTTGTGTAACTGATGGCTCACAGAGGCGGTCAGGGGAAAATGTGCGGAGTTTTTTGTTGTAAAACTGTTGAAGTGGAATGTTTTCTGTACTAAGATACTAGAGTTGTATAGAAACGTAGAATCATACATTTACCAACTGGCAGAACAAGTTCACGGGGGGGGAGTGGATTCATGTTAAAAAAAACTATTGTCAGTATATTTGCCTAATTCAAGATGTGTCTGTTAAGATAGATAGTAGCAGACAATATAAACATTCCTATTTAAAGCCCTTTTTTAAATGTACTCCTGGATGAACTTTCTCCATGCTATGTCAGTCATGAGGCTTCGTGAACTAGTACGTGTATAAAATACACTAAATTACTCGATCATTAACATGTTGGGATTACATTAGATGGTATTTTACCTCAGAATTCCATGCAAAATGCATGGCCACAGTATCATTACATGGCATAACCGCAGCGTTACATTATATTGCAAAGTATTTGGGTCACTTTTTTCATAAAGATAAATAAAAACAGCGACTGTATGTTACAAATGATCATGTATTGCTATGAAAATACGTGTATAATCGTACGTGTATTATTGCATTTATTACATTATTACATTAACATTGCATTAATACATAAAATAGTATGCAGGCAATTACCTCAGCTTAACAGTAATATTAATTCCCTGAGGCAAAAATCGTAATACTGTATTAACGTACAATTCATTACCTCAGCCTAATAATAATTAATTATGACCAATTAATCACCTCGAACGCAAATAATTTGCGTGTAATTATCTCAGTCTGTTAATAAAGTAGTATTAATCGAGTGCGAACGATTACCTCAGCTCAGTCACAACACCTTTGCGTGAAATTATTTACCTCAATTAACAAAAAAAGCGCGGGAAGCCGACTTGAGGGCTCATTTGCATATCGAGACGATACCCTCGAGACGTGGGGACTGTGGCGATTTGTTGATAGAGACGACGCGGGCTCGCACGCCCTGGGGACTGTGGCGATTTGCTTAACAACCCGGGTCCTGAGATCGCCACACAGGGTGGCAGTTGCTACTGTCACGTTGAGGTGGCAGTTGCTACTGTCACATTGAGGTGGCAGTTGCTTCTGTCACATTGAGGTGGCAGTTGCTACTGTCACATTGAGGTGGCAGTTGCTACTGTCACGTTGAGGTGGCAGTTGCTACTGTCACGTTAAGGTGGCAGTTGCTACTGTCACGTTGAGGTGGCAGTTGCTACTGTCACGTTGAGGTGGCAGTTGCTAGTGTCACGTTGAGGTGGCAGTTGCTTCTGTCACATTGAGGTGGCAGTTGCTACTGTCACGTTAAGGTGGCAGTTGCTACTGTCACGTTGAGGTGGCAGTTGGTACTGTCACGTTGAAGTGGCAGTTGCTACTGTCACGTTAAGGTGGCAGTTGCTACTGTCACGTTGAGGTGGCAGTTGCTACTGTCACGTTCAGGTGGCAGTTGCGACTGTCAAGCTGAGTTTGCAGTTGCTACTGTTACATTGAGGTGGCAGTTGCTACTGTCAAGCTGAGTTGGCAGTTGCTACTGTCAAGTCAGTTGCCAGTTGCGACTGTCACGTCGAGGTGGCAGTTGCTACTGTCAAGTTGAGTTGGCAGTTGCGACTGTCACGTTCAGGTGGCAGTTGCGACTGTCAAGCTGAGTTGGCAGTTGCGACTGTCAAGTCAGTTGGCAGTTGCGACTGTCACGTCGAGGTGGCAGTTGCTACTGTCACGTTGAGGTGGCAGTTGGTACTGTCATGTTGAGGTGCCAGTTGGTACTGTCACGTTGAGTTGGCAGTTGCTACTGTCACGTTGAGGTGGCAGTTGCTACTGTTAAGTTGAGGTGGCAGTTGCTACTGTCACGTTGAGGTGGCAGTTGCTACTGTCACGTTTAGGTGGCAGTTGCTACTGTCACGTTAAGGTGGCAGTTGCTACTGTCACGTTGAGGTGGCAGTTGCTACTGTCACATTGAAGTGGCAGTTGCTACTGTCACGTTAAGGTGGCAGTTGCTACTGTCACGTTGAGGTGACAGTTGCTACTGTCACATTGAGGTGGCAGTTGCTACTGTCACGTTAAGGTGGCAGTTGCTACTGTCACGTTGAGGTGGCAGTTGCTACTGTCACGTTGAAGTGGCAGTTGCTACTGTCACGTTAAGGTGGCAGTTGCTACTGTCACGTTGAGGTGGCAGTTGCATCTGTCAAGCTGAGTTGGCAGTTGCTACTGTCAAGTCAGTTGGCAGTTGCGACTGTCACGTCGAGGTGGCAGTTGCTACTGTCACGTTGAGGTGGCAGTTGTGACTGTCACGTTGAGGTGGCAGTTGCGACTGTCAAGTCAGTTGGCAGTTGTGACTGTCACGTCGAGTTGGCAGTTGCTACTGTCAAGTCAGTTGGCAGTTGTGACTGTCACGTTGAGGTGGCAGTTGCTACTGACAAGCTGAGTTGGCAGTTGGTACTGTCATGTTGAGGTGCCAGTTGGTACTGTCACGTTGAGTTGGCAGTTGCTACTGTCACGTTGAGGTGGAAGTTGCTACTGTCACGTTGAGGTGGCAGTTGCTACTGTCCGGTTGAGGTGGCAGTTGCTACTGTCAAGTTCAGTTGGCAGTTGATACTTTCAGTTGTCAACTATATTCTTGGTCTTTCGGTAAAGTCACGTAGATAGGTTCAAAGAAAATAACAAAAACCTATCTACGTGACTTTACCGAAAGACCCACGAATATTCATTCCTGCAGTCACAAAAGCTTTAAGTCAAGTTGCCAACTATTTCATTTTTTATTTTACCAGGTTAGGCCCGCTGAGCTATGTAGTAGCTCTTTTTCAAAAGCGAACTGACCACAAATGCTCGCTCAACGAAGTGGCTTGTCGTGTGGAAATGTATAGCAGCCACATACTCTAAACGCGCGTTTCTACAACATTGGGTCAACGGTTCCAACCACATTGGGCCAATGGTTGGCACATTTACTGAAATGTCGCGTCCCGGATTCACCTACATTAGTGACCATCACCACACTGCCACCCTTTATCAACTACTATCACACACTGCATTTACCTCCATGGTACAAATCGTCGTAGATTCCGGTTGAAGGTTGAATGGTCGTGGACAGGTCATCCATCACAGACGCTTCACCTGAGCAGTGGAACAAGCGGGAAGTGGGGGTGATTAGCGATTGATTACCACTTATGTCACATATCATCAGTCACGCCAGAATGCAATCCTATGAAGGATACAAGTTTTTTATATCTATATATATAAAAAAGGAAAATTTGTGAATGTGTCTTTTCGAAATGTTTAGCCTACTTCCCGACATGCAACAAACTTGAAATTTGCCATGTGGGTACTTTCCAGACTGCACACCATGCAAAATTATAAAAATATACTTTTTTGTAGTGGGGGGGGGGGCGCAATAATGCAGATATTTAGCACGGCAAGTGAGCTGTGACGTCACATATCTCATGTCACTCCCGCAAATGCGGAAGCGTCACGCAGTGTGCCTGCTCATGTCACGCACCCCCCCCCCCCCAACACTCCACGAGTAAAATGCCATACAAATGTGTTGCAGGTCTAAGGTGTTCTTCGCGCAGCATTGCTGCTTTATTATTTCAGTTGTTTACTGCCGTACGCACCCTGAAAATTGTGTGTTTGCAGCAAGCACGTGTGTGTGTACCTATGGAAGCGCGACGGCCACCACCAGTGACGATTATTTGAACCGGTCCTGGGCCTCTCCTAGGTCGACTCAGCCTCAAACGAGTAACTGGTGTGGTGTGTGAACATCACCACTGGGGGGGCAAAGGCGGCCGGGCGTGGTGCTGGGCACTCACCCCGTCGTATAAACTATACACCGTTTTTTTTTATTTTACCAGGTAATAACAAATGATAGCTCAACGAAGTGGCTTATCAGGTGGAAATGTATAGCAGCCAAATACTCAAAATGCATGTTTATAATTGTGGAGGGGAAAATCGGAGAGACACGCAAACTCCAAATATATAGCAGGCGTCAGGGTCGGGATCGAATCCACGACCTCCTGCCTACCAGGCGAGGTAGTCAACATCTCATAGCCACCGCGGCGCCCACCATACTTCACCGCGCTGAAAATTGCGGGTCGGGGAAAACCATCATCATTTACTTCCATACCCCTTCCCGTCCCGGAGCTGGACGTTTAAGAAATCGGACTCTGCTCTTGACTTTCCGAAGTGGGGAGTGGAGGGGGGTAGTTGCGAGCCTTGGGTTGTCACTGCCAGGTTAAAGCTGCGGGTTCGTGGCTTATGTGGAAATGTAGAGCAGACAAATACTAAAAATGCATGTTTTTAATTGTGGAGGGAAAACCCGGAAGACCAGGAGGAAAAAAAATCCACGCTACCATGGGGAGTGAGACACGCAAATTCAAAATATACAGGCGTCATGGTCAGGATCGAACGCACGACTTCCTGCATACCTGGCGAGGTAATCAACATCACACCACCTTGGCGCCATAACTCGGTTTTATGCACAGCTGGAGTAGCTGAGTAGCGGTTGACAATTCAGTGCCCGGTGCTAAGTTCCATCTCCCCCCACCCCACCGCCTCCTCTGCTACTGTGGCGTCGGCATCGCCCCACAAAATAATTTTTAGCCACCCGCAGGCTCCAGCTTCGCTTCGTTTTTTTAAACCAAAAAAAATCGACGGGACTTTTGGGCAGTGCAATATTGTTTTTTTTTGGGGGGGGGGGTGGAGGGTAGCGATTTCATACTGATTCCTGTTAATTTTGTGTAGAAATCTTCTTGGTTCTTTCGGTAAAGTCACGTAGAAGGGAAATAAAAAAATTAAAACATTATTATATTATTATGTTTAATTTATAAAAATAAAAATAATTATTTTATTGTTTTATTTCTATTATTTTATTATTTCCCTTCTACGTGACTTTACCGGAAGAACCAAGAAGATGAATCCCTGCAGTCACGAAAGCTTTAAATCGAAATTTGTGTAGAAAACACACGCGTACTAATACAATGTTACTCTCTCTGCCACGGCCAGCATCAGCGGCAAGTGATATCTGAACCAGTCCTGTGTAACATTTTCACAAACCTGCACTTACCAGCGAGGTGAAGTATGGTCAAACAACCCTGATGACTGACAGCGTGGGGAAGGCACTCATCCATCAGTAGATTGAAAAAAAGGGTTGTAAATTATTTATTATTTTTAGGCAATTTTTTTTTATAATGAGCGTAATTGTGGTTAATATTAACGACAACGTAAATGATGCCTCCTTCCCATGTTTGTTTCTACATACAAAGTAAAAGTATTTTCTTCACAACCCATCTGCTCTGCACGGCCTTATCATCAGCAGCATTAGTTCAATACAAACCTTGACAGCCAGTGTCTCATCAACAGTCAGCTCCACTTGAAAAAATATTACAATGATTATGTTTTTTTGTTTATATGTGTATTTACCCAGGAGAGGCCCGCTGAGTCGTACGACTCTTTCGACTGCCAAGTGTTTCATAGTAGGGGCAATAATTACCATTCAGTGATTTGTTGTTCATATTTAAAATTTGGTAAAGGTGGACCATGACTTACAATGGTGGCACAAAATGGTCCACTCCCGTGAATGACGTCAGGGGATCTATGGCTGAAGGGTTTTGGTAGTACATATTGTTTATGTCGTTTATTGTGAAAATTCCGTCACAGTTCCTATGATCACTGTTTCATTGCTTTCATGGCTTTATTTTGGTGATTTTGAAAAGTTTTTTGGTTTGGCCATGTTTGTTTGTTGTAGTACGGAGTAAGACTGATGGCCTTAATCTAAGTTGTCTTGTGGTTGTTGTTGTTGTTTGACTTGCATCCCACTGGGATTGTTGCACACAGCGTTGGTGTACGGTGCTTTTTCTGCAATATTTTGCTGTCTTTTCTTAGATTTTCTGTTTGCACTTAGTCACATTCACTTTAATATGTTTTCTTGTTCATGTTTTTGTTTTTTGTTTGTTGCGGTTGCACCCAATTCAAGAGCCGAATGGCTCACAGGGCTA